GACTCTGCATCCAACCTCTGCTGGGGGGAGAGGGGCTCTCTATTTTCATAGCTGGGAAGGCGAAGGAAACTCCCCAATGTCCACTGACAGCCTTTGTCAGGGAAGTCCTCAGAGTCTCCTCACTGGAGGGAGCTTGGGAGAACAGTCAGCAATCCCACCTCCAGGTTCTCCCACGTACACTCACCATGAGCCACTTGCAGCCAGCAAACCCTGTGGCTCACAGACTTAAAATGCTTCGGGCGACAGGCATTCCTGTCAAGCTGTCTTTGATTTTCTGAGGCCTTTCTCTCCACAAGGGGCTTTCAACGCCCCCTCCCCCACCCCCCATTACTCAGATGGCTTCACTGAGGTGGCTTTGCTATGACAAATGGTAGATGGGGGAGAGGGGACACAGGACACGCTCTTCTGGGTGCCTGGGCAGCTGGGTTCTCTTCTCTTTCCCCTCCCTGTCTCTGCTCCCACAGGCCTCTGCGGACCCGCAGGCCTCAGGGGCCTCTTGCCCCTTCCTTTGGCCACAAGACAGCTGACCACCCGGAGGCGCTAGGCTGCAAGGCAGAGTGAGAGCCCTGGGCTGGGAAGGTCACAGTCCTGCACCTGCAGGACATGCACCGGGTTAGCGGCCAGGAAAAGAGGGAAAAGAAAGCCTTGATATCCCTGAACTCCCCCACCAGGGCGAGGACTCAAAGATACAGAGAGAGTGGTCTGTGCCCCGAGAGGATGCTAGGAAGTGTCTCCAGGGCATAAGTCTCAGGTCTCATGGAAAGAGCACCCTGTCTCAGCTCTGTTCCCAGTTCCGCGATCACTGTCCAGCCACGGGTTTGCAACTGCAATGGTTGGAGTGGCTGGGCTCACCTGGGGCTCCTGGGGTTTGCAGGGCAAGGAAAGGCTGGGCTGTGAAAGGACTGGAGGGGGTTGGGGGGTTTTTTACATCCAGCCCTGCTTCCCCTTTACATGCAAATGGAGTCCCTTCCTCAGCGCCCACACCCATCCAGCTGCCTGGAGACTATCTAGACCTGTTCAGCCCACAACCACAGCAGTGAGGGCAGACGGACATACCTCAGGGTGGGGGAATGAGAAAAGATAAACCAAAGAACTTGTATACTTACATGCATAGCCCATGGCACAGACAATAGTGTGGTGAAGGCCTAGGAGGGATAGGAGCTGGGCAGAGGGGGGGAAAAAAGGAGAGGGGGAGATGGGAGACATCTGTAAATACTGTCAACAATACAATCTTTACTAATAAAAGGGTAATATGCTAATTAGACTGGGAGACCTTCTGGACAAAGCCATAGTGGTGGGGCACAGGCAGAGGTGGTTAGGAGGGAGGGCAGTTGAGGTGATCAGGCTGGCAGGGGGCGGGCAGTTGGTGGTGAGCAGACTGGCATGAGGGGGGCATTTGGAGATGATCAGGCTGACAGGGGGTGGGGTGAGGGTTGGGGACGAGAAGGCCGGCAGGCAGAATGGTTAGGGGCGATCAGGCAGGCAGGTAGGTGAGTGGTTAGGAACCAGAGGTCCCAGGTTGCAAGAGGGATGTAGGCTGCCAGTTTAGGCCCGATCCCCCAAGGGTTCCCAGACTGGAGACGGTACAGGCCGGGCTGAGGGACACCTCTCCCTCCCACCCTCCATGCACGAATTTCATGCACTGGGCCACTATATACTGTATTTTTCGGACCATAAGACGCACTTTTTTCCCCCCAGAAGTGGGGGGGAAAAGTCCCTGCGTCTTATGGTCCAAATATAGCCTACACATATACTTAAAAAAAAAAGTTTTTTTACTTGCCGGGCTCTGTGTGGTCTCTGTGTGCTTGCCCGGCTCTAAAATGGTTCTAAATGCTGCTGTTTACTTTACAGGGTTGATTACATGTGTTTATGACTGTGATGTTGGGTTTTAATGCACATAAAATATTTTAGGACACTATTTGTTTCAGAATCTTTTTTTCTTCATTTCCCTTCTCTAAAAACTGGTGCGTCTTATGGTCCAGAGCGTCTTATGGTCCGAAAAATACGGTGTGTGTGTGTGTGTGTGTGTGTGTGTGTGTATAAAAAAATAAAAAATAAAAAAATAAAAAAATATATGTCCGAAAAATACAGTGTGTGTGTGTATATACACACACACACTGTATTTTTCGGACATATATTTTTTTATTTTTTTAAACGAGGGTAGAAAAACTAAGGCAGCTCCTTTTAGAACTTTAAAATGGGAACATGAGTCAGAGTCTGAGTGACCTCAGAGGTTCATGTGGTGCCACCGAGGCTTCCTCTGGCCCTCGAGGCTCTGGTGGCCCCGGGAGCTCACAGTCCAGACCTGTGCCTCAGAGCTTGGTGCAGACACTGCTGCGTTGGCCACACCAGCAAGGCTTCCAGGCGGAGTCCCACCCAGCGGGAGGCTCCAAGAGGGGCTTCTGAGAGGTTCCCTGGGGAGACTCGGGTCCTTCACCTTCCTCCCGGGCCTCCTCTGGGTCTGGCTGGCCCCCTTCTCTGCAGGAGCATTTCCTCCTCACAGTCTTATATCAGATGCACACGACAGGATGAAGAGGTTACGTAGAGAACTTGGAGTCCAGAGATCAGGGTTTTACTCCTGGCAAAACAGTGCATAGACGGAGAGCTATTCTTCTCTGATTTATCTTTTACTTCCTTAAGTACTGTTATTACCAGCACCGTCATTGGTGTATGGAGCCCTTCCGGTGCTGCAGGCTCTGGGCTAAACAGCACCTCACCTCCACTCACTGAATCCTCACAGTGGCCTTATGCAGGGCAGGCATCGATGCTGTTCTTCTCACTCAGGCGAGGAAATGGACTCCTAAGGAAGCTGAGTAACTTTCTCAAGGTCACTACACCAAGATGAATCTGGACCCAGGTGTTTCTTTCTTTTCTTTTTTTTCTTTTCTTTTCTTTTCTCTTCTTTTCTTCTCTTTTCTTTTTTTTAAATGTAATTTATTGATTTTTTACAGAGAGGAAAGGAGAGGGATAGAGAGTTAGAAACATCAATCAGCTGCCTCCTGCACACCCTCTACTAGGGATGTGCCTGCAACCAAGGTACATGCCCTTGACCAGAATTGAACCTGAGACCCTTCAGTTCACAGGCTGACGTTCTATCCACTGAGCCAAACTGGTTAGGGCTGGACCCAGGTGTTTCTTTGTCTATAGTCTGTTAATCACTTCGCATGTCTCTGGAGAGCATCACTGATCAGAATGGGCTGGACTGTGTTCCTCTTTGGACTGATTGCTTAGAAACAAATAGAACAATTCTTTAACTATCGCCTCCCTTCCCCAGCAGTCTAACTTTCCTCACTATCGAAGACAGGTCCTTCCTGTATGGTTCCCAACCACCCCCACTGCAGGAACACAGGCTGAGCATTTGTGAGAGCCCGACCCCCAGCATGCCCCTCTCAGTGCTCGAGCCCCACTGGCTGCTCTTGGCTCTCCCTCACGGCTCCTTTGGCTCAGCTCCCAGAGGGCTTGGTAACCCCACAAGTTCAACCTCAGCACCTCCCCTTGGACACGAGCTAGATGCTATTGATCCTTTAGCTAAAGAGACTGTGATTGTTGAAAAGGGTGGAGTTGTATCTCGATGTGAACCTGGAACTGCTTGAATTTGGAAAGCCAGGGGAGCTGGTGAGGCATGTACTGTATTGTCTAAGGGGCTGGAGGTGGGCCAGTGGCGTGGTGAGTGGGTCGTGGTGTGGAGTTGGGAACTAGCAAAAGCCAGGGAGGAGAAGAAGCTGGTCTGAGAGGAAGCATCGGGGGAGAAGGGGACAGGAGCCCGGATGGTGTGGAAGCTCAGGGCTCAGCTGGGCTGGAGGGGGAGAGCCGGCTTCAGAGGCTCCCTTGGTGCAGCTGTTTTCCGTACATGCACTGCCATGGAGTGTGTCCACAGGAGCCGCGCTGAGCCCGGAGCAGGGGCACGAGGGCCTCCACCTCCGCTCCTCAGAGTGTGGCTTCACTGGAGAGCAAGCTTTGACTGATGTGTCTCCTATCTCCAGAGCCTGTGGTCAGTCTGGTCCTTTGTAGGCACTTGGGGACTTTCAAATAAATGAAGGGAAGAAGGGAGGGAGAAAAGGAGGGAGAGAGGGAGGGAGGGAGAGAGGGAGAGAGGGAGAAAGGGAGAGAAGGATAAATGAAGGGAGGGATAGAGAAAGGGAGGGAGAAAAGGAGGGAGAGAGGGAGAGAGGGAAAGAGGGAGGGAGAGAAAGAGGGAGAGAGGGAGAGAGGGAGGGAGGGATAAATGAAGGGAAGGATAGAGAAAGGGAGGGAGAAAAGGAGGGAGAGAGGGAGAGAGGGAAAGAGGAAGGGAGGGAGACGAGAGGGAGAGAGGGAGAGAGGGAGGGAGGGATAAATGAAGGGTGGGATAGAGAAAGGGAGGGGGAGAGAGAGAGAGAGAGAGAGAGAGAGAGAGAGAGAGAGAGAGAGAGAGAGAGGAGAGAGGGAAGGAGGGAGGGAGGAAGGGAGGATGACGCAGCAGTAGGATTTGATGATGAAGTGGAGCTTCAAGCGAAGGTCAAGTGATTTCTCTCCAGGGTCAGGCGTTCCCAAGTTCCCCGGGGCTGCCATGCAGAAGAACACTCTCCTTTCTGTCTCCTCCTATCACACTGGCTCAGAGAGATAAAGCCGGAATTCAGCCATGTCTTAGTCCAGATAAACAAGAAAGGAGATACAAGAATCAAAAAAAGTGTGGCTATGTTTGTCCAGGGCTCAGTCCCACCGCAGTCTTGTCTCCGGGTCACTGCCTCCTGCTCAGGGGCTCAGTCCCAGTGCAGTGCCTGGCCTGAGCACCCACACACTCACGTTCCTCTCACTCTTCAGGAGGACGAAGCCAGGGAGCCCCGTGGGTTACAGGTTCTGTAAAGCCTGGGCAGGGCACAGACTCCCTGAGCTTGTTAAAAGAAGGCTGATTCAAAAACAAAAAGTGCCATCAGAATTTCAAGGAGCAGATTGACTAATAGCATCCAAAGACCAGTGCAGCGCACACACCTCTGCCCATATCGCTGCGTATTTTTTGTACTGTGCTTCCTCCGTGGTCTTTCTTGTGGCTGGCTGTGCAGTTTGGGTGCTTGTTGAGAGCGGCATCTGCCTTTGGTTTTGCTGACCTCGGTGTTTCCGAGACCCTCTCTCCTCATAGGCTCAGTTTCGCCTTGCCAGCTGCTCTGGGCCAGTTTCTGTGGCAGAGGCGGCCACACCTGCTTCCTGAGGGCCCCTGGGCAGAAGCATGCGGTGGTGTCTCCTCCTGATCTGGGCCCAGGGGCTGAGGCAGGCTCCCCTCCCGGCCTCAGGTAGGGACTGAAACTCCAACCCGGACCCGAGGCAGGGGGAGCTCAGGGAGGCGGGAAGGGGAGGCAGGGAGGGAACCCTCTATGGGTCTGCGGGTGTGTGTGTGTGTGTGTGTGTGTGTGTGTGTGTGTGTGTGGCGGGGAACCACAGTGTTCAGAGCCCTGCGCCCGCTTTTCTCCTCTGAGAAGAAGGCACAGGTTTGTTCCGGGCGGCAGATGAAGGGCTTGGGGCACGGGGGTGGGGGTGGCCAAGCCCTGACTGGCCAACCCCAGAAAGGAAGCAAGGGAGAGAAAGGGACTGAGCCAGACGGTGACCCATTTGCTTGTAGACATTCACTCTGTCCCTTCCTCCTTTCTTCTGAGGATCAACATGTTTTCCTCACAGATTCTAGAGATCCGAACATTTTAGATTGAATTCGTGATGCATCTATTTCCTTCTGTATTAAAAGGGGGCACAGATATTTAAAAAACGGCAGTGCTAGTTTTTGTTTTGCTTTCTGAGCCATCCGAGGGTGGTAAGTGCCAAGAGGGTGGTTTTGCGTGGAGAGCTGGTTTCTCACCAACGCTCCTTCCCTGTGGAGGTCACGAAGGGTTTTCTGGGCGCCCCCATGGCAACCAGCCAAACAGCCAGGTTTTACTTCCAAGGACAACGTGTCCAGCCCAGCCCCGGGCTGCTGGAAGACACGATGAAACAGAAGCGGTGGCTGCCAGGGTTTATATTGTAGAGGGAGCAGCTGAAAATCACCCATGCGCTGGTGGTGACGCCAGATCCCAGCAGAGCATCTGGGATGCTCTCCATCTTCCGGGCGGGGAAGTGGCAAGTGGGTCGGAGAGGCGACCGTTCCAAAAGCCAGTCCTGGTCACAAAGCCCCTGGGGATTCCTACGTACGATAAGGACCGGGCCAGCTGCTGACCCGGACTCACGCACGCTTTCTCCCTCCCCCAGGAGCCCTGCCAGGCAGACTAGAGACCGCGGGGAACATTTCTGCAGAGGAAGGCAGCTCCGTCACCTTACAGTGTCTCCTCTCCTCCACCACGGCCGCGGTGACGCAGGTCGACTGGACGCAGCAGGGCCGGTTTCTGGCCATTCATCACACTGAGTCCGGCTGGTCCGTCTACCCGGCGTTCAGGGAGCGGGTGGTCCCCCGCCCGGACCTGGGCCTCACCCTGCAGGCGCTGACCGCAAACGACACCGGGGTGTACTCCTGCATCTATCACACCTTCCCGGACGGCATCTACAGAGGGAGACTCTTCCTGGAGGTCCTGCGAAGCTCAGGTATGCCCTTCGGAGCGGAGCAGAGGACGAACCTCAGCCTCCAGGAGGGAAAATGCACCCCTGCCATGCGCAGTGGGGCAGGGCCACCCATCCCGGCTCACATGCACATCACCTGGGGGCTTTTAAATAATGCTGATGCCAGCGCCCATCCCACACCAATTCAGTAGGAATCTCTAGGGGTGGAGCCAGGACCTGAGAGGTGCTAGGAGAATCCCTGGTAATTTGAACGAGCAGCCAACATTGATAACCACAGTCTTGGGTATAAAAAGGACATGTTATGTATATGTATTGACTTAGAGGCCTGGTGCATGAATTCTTGCTCAGGTGGGGTCCCTCAACCTGGCCAGTGATCAGGGCAGATCAGGGCCATCTCGCCCAGTCCCAGGGCCTTTCAGGGCTGGCCAGCCAGGGGGAGGGACCACAGGAGGATGGCTGGCCAGGGGAGGTTGGCTGTGGGAACATACTGACCACCATGGGCATCTCCTGCATTGAACATTTGCCCCCTGGTGAGCAGTGCATGTCATAGCTACCGACTGGTTGTCCAGTTGCTTAGGCTTTTATATATATATATATAGACTAGAGGTCTGGTGCATGAACTTCATGCACAGGGTGTGGGTTGTCCCTCAGCCCAGCCTGCACCCTCTCCAATCTGGGACCCCCAGTAGGATTGGACCTAAATGGGTGGTTGGACATCCCTCTCACAATCCAAAACTGCTGGCTCCCAACCACTCACCTACCTCTCCCTGATTTCCCCTAACCACTTTTGCCTGATAGCCTAATCACCCACTGATCGATGCCTAACTGCTCCCTGGCTGGCCCAATTGCCCTCCCCCCACAACTGCCTTCCTCTGCCAGTCTGGCGACCCCTATAGTCCTCCCCTGTTGTCCTGGGTCCACTCCAACAGTCCTCCCCTGCAGGCTTGGTCCCCACAAGTGCCCTCCCCTGCTGGCCTTGTCTCCCCCAACTGCCCCTCCTCTGTTGGCCAGTCACCCCTAATAGCCCTTCCCTACAGGTTTGGGTCTCCCCCAACTGCCAGCCCTTTCTGGCCTGGTCACCCCTAACTGCCCACAATTACCCTCCTCTGCAGGCCATCTTGTGGTGGCCATCTTGTGTCCATATCGGGACAGCCATCTTTGGTCATCTTGTGGTCATCTTGTGTTTTGGAGTGATGGTCAATTTGCATATTACTCTTTTATTAGATAAGATATGGTCATTTAGAAAATGTTCTCATTTCTTAGGTTAGCATGGATCACACAGATTAAAATTAGGTCCTAAATTTATAAGGGATTAGAGCTGGGTAGAAACAAAGCTGTGTGCTAAGTGTAAATGTACAATCATTTGCATTTTAGAAAGGTTTTTGAAAAATTTTTTCAATTACACTTGACAGGCAATATTGTGTTAGTTTCAGGTGAACAACAAAGTGATAGGCATTTGTGTACTTTACGAAGTGATCGCCCTGATAAGTACCCACCTGGCATACAGCGTTATGACAATAGCATCAACTATATTCCCCATGCTGTACTTTCCATCCTTGTGGTTGTTTTTATATCTGGCAATTCTACATCTTAACCCCTCCCCCTTTTTCATTCATCTCCCCCCCACCCCCAACTGGCAACCATCAGTTTGTTCTCTGTATCTATGAGTTTGTTTATTCATTTGTGTGTGTGTATATATGTGTGTGTGTGTGTGTGTGTGTGTGTGTGTTTAAGATTCCACATATAAGTGAAATCATGTGGTATTTGTCTTCATCTGCCTGACTTATTTCACTTCGCATAATACCTTCAAGGTTCATTCAAGTTGTCACAAAGGCAAGATTTCATTCTTCTTTATGGCTGGTTAATATTTCCTTGTGTCAGTGCGCCACATCTGTGTGCATTCATGGACACTTAGGTTGCTGCCATATCTGGGCCATTGCAAATTAGAGCCTCGATGAACATAAGGGCGCTTATATCTTTTTGAATTAGTGTTTTGAACGTCTTTGGATAAAATTAAAAATAGAACTATCATTATGACCCAGCAATTCCACTACCCAAAAGAGGAATTGCTGGGTCATAATGATAGTTCTATTTTTAATTTACGATCATTGACATTTGTTCGTGCTTCATAGTTTCCAAAATAACCTCACGTCTGTTATCCATCTGGACACTTGAACCGGTTGTCTGGATGGAAGGAAAGGATTCTGACAGGATCTGAGAGGCAGTGCAGTGGAGTGGTTGTGAGCTCAGGCTGATGCCAGGCAGTCGATGTCCGAATCCCGGTGCTGCTGGTGACCACAGGCAGGATTAGGTAGCTGCTCTGTTCAGTGCTTTTCTCCCCGGTGAAAGGAGGCAGTTGCCAGACCCGGGGAGGTGCTGACAGGGGCGAGTTACTCACTACACGCAGACGCCTGTAGGACGGACGGCACCTGGGACATGCCTGGGAAGCACCACGCGCAGCTCCGTGATGAATGCACTGCTTGTCTGACGGAGGCAGCGGGAGTGAGGCGTACAGTGGCTCAGGGCATCAGTGCTGGCTTGAACACAGGTGTTCTGGTTCCCGGAACGGCACCCTCTGAACTTCTAGTTGCTGATTGTGCTAGAGATTAAGCTTTATGAGTCGGCAAAATCTGTGAGACTGTTACCTTGAAGTTTTTTTTTTGTTTTTTTTTTTAAATGCCTGCTTTCACATAGGCCAATTATGCATGCGGATAAGAGCTACATGTTTTTCTGTTCTGTGGACAGCCCTCTGCAGGCCCTCTGCTCCTCGTCTGCCCCCCTCTCACCACCTGTGGCCAAAGCAGGAAATAGAATCCTCAGGGCAGGAGAAGCATGCGCTGGGGGTTTGGGCTCCCTCTCCTACCCTCCTGGTACCATGTGGAGACTGTTGGCACTGCCCTTGTTCTAAGGGATTGCGTTCCTGGGCCACCTTTCCTGCAAGCGCAGCCCTTAGTCAGCGGGAAGAGGGCCTGGCCTCTGCTTCGCCCTCCTCTTTTCTCCCCCGGGCACCTGGGAAGGAGGTAGAAACCCTTTCCCCGCAGCAAGCACACATGGGTCACTGTCCTGTTCTTCTCACACGCTCCTTGGATAAAATATCATCTCCTCAAAGCCCCTTTTCTGCCTCTTTCTCCTTCCAGTTACATTTTATGTCCACAGACATTCTCTTGTTCCTGCTTTAACTCATATCACACACTGACGAAGCACCTGTTCTGTGCCAGGTGCTTGATAAATATTTGTGGTCTGGCCTGGCTGGTGTGGCTCTGTGGTTGAGGTCACAGTTCCATTCCTGGTCAGGGCACAGGCCTGGGTTGTGGGTTCGATCCCCAGTAGGGGGCCTGGAGGAGGCAGCCGATCAATGGTTCTCATTATTGGTATGTCTATCTCTCTTTCTCCCTCTCCCTTCTTCTCTGAAATCGATAAAATATCTATGTAAAGAGGATTTGGGTGTGAATGAAGGAGAGCAGTAGAGGAAACAGCCCCAGGACCTTGCTCAGGTCTCACGCCCAGGAGGAATAAGTGCCATAGGCTTAAGGGGAAAGGTTATGTGCTCTTTTTTTTTTCACTTTAATATTAATTTTATTTTAATTTTTTAAATTAAAATTTTCCTACTAGTATGATTATAAATATGAAGTTTCATAAGAGAAAATTTTCCTTTCCCATTTTCTCGGGACATTGCCATTTGTTTTATTTCGTGAGTATTCATTACCCAAAGTGGCGTTGTTGAGTGGAGGAGGGGTCTAACCATGGCTGCTCTGGTGTAGCTTGTGAGGTACACAACGGCTCACGTGTCGGTGGTTCATGGTGGGCCAGGCAGATGTCTGCGGTCCAAGCTGCCGGGTGAGTGGTCCGGTCCTGTGGCCAGAGAAAGGCCTGGCCAGCCCCCACCGCTGCGTCCCGAGCTCAGGCCTCTCTGGGACACGGGTGCCCTTTGCTTCCGACCTCAGTCTATTTCCCTTGTTTGTCCTCCCTCTAGGCGCTGGGCACCGCCCTGAGCTCCTCCTCCCGCTGCTCGGGGTCCTGCTGCTGGTGGTCATCTGCACCGCGGTCACAGCGGTGGTCATGTTGGCCAGAAAGGTAAGACTCTGGACCCCAGGCCAGCCACCCTGGCCCTTTCAGATCCTCCTTCTGTCCAGAGACAGTCATAGATGGGACCTCCACTGCCCTTTGTGCCTTTTCCACGGTCCTTGTTCTGCCTTTTGGGGAAGTTGCTTGCATCCTTCCCTGTACCTTCCCTTATCTGGGAGTGCCTCTGCCCTGAACTCCAGACTATTTTTCCTGGCATACATGATATCTAATAAAGAGGTGATATGCAAATTGACCATCACATCATAAAGATGGTGGTGCTCACAGTGGAGGCAGGGTTTCCATAACACAAGATGGCTGTACCCACAGTGGAGGCTGAGTTCCCGTAATGAACCTTAAGGAGCAGGGAACTGAGGCTGGGTGGCACTGGGCTGGGGCAGGGGACCTGAGCCTGTGCCCCCACTTAATGGGGCTTGATGGGGTACCTAGGCTGCGCCCCCCACCAGGCAGGGCTTGAAAGAGGACCCGAGGCTGTCCTCCCCCCCCTCCTGGCGGGGCTTGATGAGAGATCTCAGGCCATGTCCCCCACCCAGCAGGGCTTGATGGGGGACCTCAAGGTGCACCCCCCATCTTGGCCCAGACTGGGAGACCTCAGGCCATGCCCCCTGCCCTGGCGCCAGGTCAGAGGACCTCAGGCTGCACCATCTTCCCTGGTGCCAGGCCAGGAACCTAAGGGTGCAGCAGGGGATCTGAGGCTGCGCCCTCCACCTGGCGCTGGGCTGGGGGACCTGAGGCCGCACTTCCCCGCCTGGCGGAGCTTGATGGGGATGGGTCTGGCTGGGTCTGGGTCTCATGTGATTTGGAAGTGTGCACAGGTGGGTGGGGACTTGACTCTGAGTCCAGTGCCATGCCCTAGGGCCTAGACTCTGACAGGAGGATGATTTTCATATACATTTTACTAATTTTCTTTCATCTCTGACACTTCTATTATAGAGAAAGGGCAAATAGCAATGTTAAAATATTTCCTCTAATTAATTCTTATAAATACAGTAGAGGTCTAGTGCATGAAATTCGTGCACGGGGAGGGGGGGGTTGGAAGGGGGCTGTCCCTCAGCCCAGCCTGCACCCTCTCCAATCTGGGACCCCTTGAGAGATGTCTGACTGCTGTCAGTTTAGGGCCAATCCTGCAGTCAGACATCCTTCTCACAATTCAGGACTGCTGGCTCCTAACTACTCTGCCTGCCAGCCTGATCACTACTAACTTCTCCCCTGCTGGCCTGATTGACACCTAACTACTCCCCTGCCAGCCTGATCACTCCCAATTGCCCTCCCCTGCAGGTCTTGTTGCCCCCAATTTCCCTCTCCTGCAGACCTGGTTGCCCTGAACTGCCCTCCCTTGCTGGCCATCTTGTGACAATGTGGGGGGAAGCCATCTTGTGGCAACCATCTTGTGATGATGTGGGCAGCCATCTTGTGATGATGTAGGGGTGACCATCTTGTGATGACATGGGGGCAGCCATCTTGTGACAACCTGAGGGTGGCCATCTTATGATGTGAGGGCATGAGGGTCAATTTGCATATCACCTCTTTATTATATAGGATGTTCTTATAATTTCTATACACTTTATTATAGCACCTCAGAATACCTGGTGCTCAATAAATATTTGCATTGCATGGATCTACTAGACCAGTGGTCAGCAAACCACGGCTCGAGAGCCACATGTGGCTCTTTGGCCCATTGAGTGTGGCTTTCCCACAAAATACTACATTCGAGCATACACTTACAGTGTAATTGAAACTTTGTGGGCCATACGCAGAAGTCAGTTTTTGGCCTGGGTCTATTTTGAAGAAGTAGCATTAGAACACTCAAGGGGCCAAAGAGCTGCATGTGAGCCATGGCTTGCTGACCACTGCTCTAGACTAAATGAATGATTGTTATCTGCCAGGCAGCTGCTGGCAAGAGTGCCCCAGGGGCCTTCTGAGAGGTTTGGCAGAGATGGCTGTGTCCAACGTTGGGACCATGACTGCCAACCCACTGTCCTTCTCCTCGGGTTCTCCAAGGGGGCAGTGTAGGTGACCATGCCCACTTAGCAAGTGGACATCCGGGTCTGGAGATCAGGGCAGAGGCCTGGACTAATGTGGGTGGAGATTTGGGCATCACCAGAGGGAAGACGGTGGTTGTAGATGTACATTTAGATGCAGCGTCTCAGAGAGTATTCACTTCTAACTTCTCCCCTGCTGGCCTGATTGACACCTAACTACTCCCCTGCCAGCCTGATCACTCCCAATTGCCCTCCCCTGCAGGTCTTGTTGCCCCCAATTTCCCTCTCCTGCAGACCTGGTTGTGAGAAAGCAGAGGGCAGAACCCTGGGAACCCCTGTAATTGGGGAGCTGATGTGCCAGCAGGAAAAAGAGCAGGGCTGGCTGAAGGTGCAGATGGGTTCACAGGAGGAGGAGGAGGACCAGGGAGAAGGTGCTGTGGAAGCTGGGGAAGGAGAGCATTTTTAAAAGGAAGAGGTCATCAGTGTGTGGGGCGACAAAGAGTAGAGAGAAGCGGGGTGCAAGCTGCCTCACTGGGCTTTGTGAATAGGGAGGAATGGTAACAGGTGCATCGGGTGTGTAGAAAGTTTTGTTTTGGTGGAGTGGCTGAGAAAATAAGGGTCAAGAGATTGATGTTGGTAAGAACACAACTTTGTGTGTGTGTGTGTGTGTAAGAAAGGAAGAGAGAGATCATTATAATTAGGTATCAGTTGGGGAGTAACTTTTGGATTACACCCCTACATACTCTGTCATTTGTTTGCTTTTAGAAGAAATTTCTCAGAATTCGCTCTGCAGAAAGTGGCCTCCGGAGCGGGCCACATGGACAGGAGGAATGGGAGCTCAGGGTTCCTGTCTCCCCTGCCGGCTGCGTCGGGGCAGAAGCTGCAGCTGCCGGCTCAGGCTCATGCGGAGAGCAGAGGGACGATGACTATGACGAGCCACACGACTACTTCAATGTCCTGAGCTACAGGAGCCTTGGGGACATTAGCTTCCCAGCAGAGACTGGTTAGCAGCCAGGGGCAGCTGCTGGGAGACACAGCCTGACTATGCTATCACAAACGGGTTGTAGGGTCTGCACTCTCCATCACTGCAGGGTGCGTGTGTGTGTGTGTGTGTGTGTGTGTGTGTGTGTGTGTGCAGTTGAATGAATGATTGCCATTCTCATCCCTGTCTGCATTTCCTCTCCCCGTCCCTTCCACTCCATTGTGGCAGACCCGGGGGAGCAGCTTGAGTCTTGATTATGAATGCAATGTTGAAAACAGTGTGACCTGATTTTGAGCCTGGCAGTTTGAGCCAATTCTGTGGCTGTGGACAACGTGTTCCTCCTAACAGCCTCGGGGAGGGGCTCAGGTGACAGGTTTTGTGGGGGATGATGACGACAGTGTGTTTGCAAAGCCACATTCTTCTCATTTCTCACTGTCATTCCCATCAACAGTTACCCATTCAAGGCATTTTAGATTAAGGCGTGGTCCCAGCGTCTGGAGGATGACTAAACCACGGTCTTGCGTCTCAGCCCTTTGAGAACTTCCCCTTAAGTGGGGAGATGACATTTCCATGGAAAGGCGGGAAGGGGTAGGGATCTAAGACTGGGACTGTGGGAGGATATGCCAGTTTGGCGTGAGGTGGTCAGGACAGGCATACCTGTGGTGAAGTGGCCCAGGAGGATGGGGAACAGAGTGGCCAGTCTGGTGAGAGCAAGTTTTTACACAAGGAACTTGTAGAAACCAAAGTCGGGAGCTAAAGCCTCACAAGGAAGACCCTGGTAACAAGGGAACCTACGAGACTTCAAAATCAAATCTCTTGTTGCACGCACTCAGCGTATAGCAATGGGCTATATGGGGGCTCCAGGCTCTTCCAGCCATGCGCTGGGGAGCCCCGGAAATGGTGACCTTGGGCAGTGACCCAGGTTTTCTCTGTCAATCCAACACCAAACTTTGAAAAAAGAATCTGTTTCCCACTGAAAGGAAAATCTAGATTTTTAAAATAAGGACTCTTCCTAGGAAAAATATAAAATGAGGGCGATAGTTTCTAAAAATGTACACCCCCAAGCTATCATCTCTGAAGGCTTACATTCAGCCCTGGCCCCTTCGTGCTGCAGTTGGGTGGCATCGGAGCTGCTCATTTCTGTTCAGGTGGCATTTAGGCTTTTATCCTCCCACTGTCTCTCAGAGAAATGAGGAGGGAGGTTGGCTCACAGGTGAGTGATTTCCTTTCACAGGCACAGGAACCGAGAGAGAATGTGAGGCAAAGCTGCCTGCTGACAACCATTAAAATAAAGCATTGCCCTGCTCCCCAAGAATCAATGGCTGGTTGAGCAAGAAGACAATTGAACTCCTACACCTCCTTGCATTTTTATTTTTATGTTCTCACTTTTCAACCAAACGGGTCTGTAGTTAGGAGCAATGAGCTGAAATCTGTCCAGAGTGCCAACTTGTTTGGAAGAAAGAGAGGCACGTGAACAACACTGTTATTTGCCATGGCAGTCAGCACACAGCACTTTTCTTGCAAAACTAGTGCAAATTTGTTGGTAGTAGAAAACAATTCACGGACAGGAAATGAATGAAGATGCAATGACGAAAAGGGAGTGTTGTTTTGCTTTGATGGAGATACATTGGGTTGAGGTAGACTGAGAGCTGGGTGTTATAGAACATGATTGTGGCAACTGGAAACATTTACAAATACCATTTGGAGTTGATAAAAACACAGAAGGACTCAGAGATGTCGTAAGTGGGTCAGGTGCCTAAAATGAGATTGAATTCAACGGAAAATAAATTTTAAAGTGGAATCCAATGAGCTAGATTTTCCTTGGAGAACCAGAGGAGACGATCCTGTCAAAGTCACATTCCAGCCCCATAGCCGCTCTCCACATGCAGCTATGAGCAAGGGAGATGCGTGGTGAGTATAAAATACACATCAGGATTTAAAGACTTAGAGTGAATAATAAGAATGTAAATGATCACATCAGTCACTTAAAATATTGATTACATGTCATAATGACAACATTTTGGATATGTTGTGCTAAATAAAATATATTATTAAAATTCATTTCCCCTGTTTCTTTTTACTCTCTTAATGTGAACTACTGGACAATCTAAAAGTGCATATGTGGCTTCCATTGCATGTTTACTGGACCATGTTGCTCAGACTTTAAACCTGAGCCAAGCTGGTTCCTGGGGATGGTATGTGTCTCTGACTGATGGTCTCTCTTTCTTATTCAAAGTAGGGCTTGATTAGACGTTTTTCCTCTTTCATTATGTCTTTCTAGAAATATATAGGGAAGAATCACATGGGATGTTGAGGCAGGGGACCTCTAAATGCAGACAGGAAGAGACCTTAGGTTGTCTTGAATCCCCTCTGGAATTCTTTGACAGGAGAAGAGGAGAATAAAAGGGGAATCATTGAATGATGAGAGTTCAGGGTGAAATACACTTATTGATTCCTTACCCCTTACCACTCCAAATTCTAAGCCTGGGCATGTAGAGTATGATCTGTAATTCAAAGGACTATATTGAACAGGCATGAGAAATATGAGTCATGGAACTTTGACATAAATGATCTTCGTGAGTGGACATAACCTTACCATGCAATTTTGTATCATGACTTGTCCCTTCTCCGCCACACTGGAATTCCAGTGGATCATCACACAGTTAGGTTCATACAGATCCCATCAGTGTTGACAGGAAAGGCAGCCCAGTGCACGAATGGCAGTACTCTGGTAGGCAAACCATACTCCACAACGAGGAGGGAGCCAGCAGCATGGCTGTGGCTGTCAGCATGGGGTGTGAGTTTTGATCAGTCTTCTGGTTCTTTCTAGTCTTGCTTCAGTGCTGTAACCAGTAATCCCCCACCTCCACTCCACTGCAGACCTCCCCAGAGGCCCAGGGGAGCCTTATGTGTACAAGAGCCTGAGCTTTATGGGGGTCAGAACTATATACCTTGATGTTTCAGATAATTAATTTGCATAGATAGCGTCTAGGACAATACTATCCAACAGAACTTTCTGTGATGAAAGGTCTGTGTCTTTGCTGTTGAATGTGGCAGCCATTAGCCACACATAGCTATTGAGCACTTGAAAGGGAGACTAATGTGACTAAGAAACAGAATTGAAAACGGTATTTAATTTTAATTACCTTAAATTCAAATGCAGGTAAGTAGTGACATGACTGGTAGGTAGCTAGTACATTAGACATTGCAGTGAATGTCTTGCATATGGAGAAAACACAGAGAGATGTTTATAGGCTATTGGACAGCTCTACAGATGTTATGCATTTGAGAGAACTCTGACCAGGAAGAAACATGGAGGTTATCTTTTAGTGTCTATAGTCTTCCTTTGATCAAGACAAACTATGAGCCAAAACCGGTTTGGCTCAGTGGATAGAGCATTGGCCTGCAGACTCAAGGGTCTCAGGTTCGATTCCGGTCAAGGGCATGTACCTTGGTTGCGGGCACATTCCCAGTAGGGGGTGTGCAAGAGGCAGCTGATCAATGATTCTTTCTCATTGATGTTTCCAACTCTCTATCCCTCTCTCTTCCTCTCTGTAAAAAATCAATAAAATATATTTAAAAAAAAAAAAAGACAAACCATGAGGCCAAAAGCAGGATGTGAATTTATTTATTTCAGACTCTTCCCAAAAGGCACCTGAGGTAGATAAGTGTCCAGTTAAGGTGCTGAGGGTGAGGGCTGTCTAGAAGTTTGCAATTGATAGGTGTTAGGCAGGAAGAGACACGCAGCACAGGACTTGCCCTGGTCATTCCAACTTCATGTAGCTTGTGAAGATACCTTCTCTGGGGCCAAAAGTCTGGTTGCTGTTATAGAGATCAACAGGGAAGTAGCTGATGTGTCACGGACTGGGCGTCAAGACTCGTCCAGGTGCGGAGCACTGACACTTCCCTTCATGACTTTGAAATGAGCACCTTCACTTCCCAACCCTCATTACAAACGTTTCCTCACTTACACCATGGTAATGACAATATCTAGTGTAGCATGTTCTGAGTAAGATACAGTAAGGTAATGTGGTTCACTCTTTAAGCTGTAAAATGCTGAATTCTTATGAATATTGCATTATGTCTCACAAGCATGTGTGCCTGGCTCTGCTTATGGTGCCACAGAGGTCCCCAAGGGAGCACCAAGTTGTTGGGATCAACCAAGGCATCTGTAATGATCCAACTCCTCAGTACTGGGGTGGAAGGAATGCTAAGAATTGCAGCTATAGCCTGGGGGCCCACAAGTATCTGTATTTTAAAAGGTTGTGTTGTGCCTGGACCGGTTTGGCTCAATGGATAGAGCGTCGGCTTGGGGACTGAAGGGTCCCGGGTTCGATTCCGGTCAAGGGTTCGATTCCGGTCAAGGGCATGTGCCTTGGTTGTGGGCATATCCCCAGTGGGGGGTGTGCAAGAGGCAGCTGATCGATGACTCTCTCTCTCATCGATGTTTCTAACTCTCTATCTCTCTCCCTTCCTCTCTGTACAAAATCAATAAAATATATTTAAAAAAAAAATAAAAAAAATAAAAGGTTGTGTTGTGAGATGGTAATCTTTTTAAAAAGTGAAACTTAATTTGGATACCTATGACCTTCCTATAACAGAGGGCTGTCATTATCTTCAGAATCTATATTTATAATTAAGTTGGTTTCAAGACATGGAGGCTCCATTAATAAATAATTCATTTGCTCCAAGTGAGGATTTTGCAGCAGTCAGGATCAGGGAAGGGGTGGGAGGAGCGTGGTCACCGGGCTCAGGGCAGTGCGGGGTGGCTGGGAGGCTGGTGCAGGGCCTGCAGTGCTCCTCACTCAGGGAGTAGGGACTCGGGCTCAGCAAGACATCACCCAACACAGCAAATCCATGTTTTATTTTAATGGATTTTGTAGGCTTTTTTTTTTTTTTTAACTTGTATTTGAAATTTATTTAAAATTTACTTTTATTTATTTTCATTTTAGTATTATAATTCTGTAATAGCTATAAGGTTTACCTGGTTGTATGTTTGAGCATATTTAAGAAAGATTATAATAAAAATAATTATAGCCTATATTAGTTATTAATTTATTTTTTATCATTATAATAAAAATAATTTCAGATTCCTCCTCTGGGGGATGGTCTGTGGGAAGTATCATTGTTTTAAAATATATTTTATTGACTTTTTACAGAGAGGAAGGGAGAGAGATAGAGAGCTGGAAACGTCGATGAGAGAGAAAAATTGACCAGCTGCCTCTTGCACACCCCCTATTGGGAATGTGCCCGCAACCAATGTACATGCCCTTGACCGGAATCGAACCTGGGACCTTTCAGTCCGCAGACCAACGCTCTACCACTGAGCCAAACCGGTTTCGGCCTTTTTTTTTTTTTTTTTTTTTTTTTTTTAATAAAGGTATATTCATTACTCAAGTTTGAGAGACCCTGGTGTAGTATACATATTGGGTTTCAGAAAACTTGACTTCAAGCACTAGTGTATTAATGATTTAATAATGGGAAAAGCACATATTTCTGAACCCCTGTTCTATAAACTGGTGTAATAACCACTTCACAATGTTTCCCAGGGAAATTGCAAGGATAGATAAATGCATGAAGGAGAACTTTGTAAATGGTTAAGTGCCATATGAACAACCTCTATGCCACTGTTACTGTAGCTCATATGTGTCAGCAGGCAGAGGGGAGGCCCTGAACCTTTGGTGGTTGTGCACAGGGAGATCAGGCTCCGGGAGAAGCTGGCTGGCATCATCAGGATGTTGCTAGGATTCACAGAAATCAAATAGGGACAAATTTTGCATCATGAAAATGTTTTCTTCCTATTTTCTATTTCATAGACTATCAGGTAAATTTGGTGCTCAGTGACTGAGCTGCAAGAGGTCACCATTTGAAGTCACAGAGGTTACCTTTCAGCCCAGAGTTCCCCTCAGACTCTCCACGCCCCAAGCCCAGACCTGGTTTCTGTGTGCTCACATGGGTGGAATGCCTGCCTGTGCTCACCTCCTCCAACCCAACGCCTGCATGTCCGCGGGAGTCCCCAAGCCAGACTGCTTATTTCTTGGACCCTTCCTTGACGTGCCCTGCTCATTTATCTTTGCTAATTTGTAAATTCCCATGACACTGCGAGTTCGAATGGTAAAGTCTAGCTTTTGATTTTATATGAACCTTTATTTCCGTGGTTAGAGTTTAAGGTTTACCAGGCCTGAAGTAACGTGCTCTGTTTCCTTCACACACTGCAGAGCCAAAGGGAATGGAGATGCTTTTCTGAAGAGCTGGTGAATCTAATTCAGTTGGAGTGACTTCCCGGGGACAAAGGAGATGTCCGTCTTCCCCACTGCACCAGCAATTTCTGCTAGCGATGAGGTTAGAGAGCTCCCCGGGTAGAGTGGCATCTGAGAAAGGGTCTAGGTAGTAGGAGTCTCCACAGACATCAAATGGGGATGCATTCTGAGCCGTGAACACTCCGTGGGTACAAGGGTAACGATAGACGGGCACAGTGTTTTATAGGACTGCTTAGTTCCACAAGAGACTGGCTTGCGTGTGAGGAAGGAACAAAGGTGAATGATTTAGGTAACAGTGAATGAGCCCTGTGATCACTTGTGAGATTTAGATAAAAGAAGGAAAATGCCTAAATTTGCATTATATTTCCTTAAACGACCTCAGTGTTACCAGTCTTGGCATTCCTATCTTTTGTGCCAAGAGGAGAATATATTAGGAATTTTTCTGACCTTTTTGGGGTAATTCTTATTTGGATAATCTCTAGAACTAGTTCACAATAGATAAATGAATGTGGAGAACTGCCTAAAACAGAATAACTGTCACAATAGAAAGAAGACACAGTAGGAAACCAGGAGAAGAGTTTTTTTTGTTTTTTTTTAATTATTCCTTCATATTCAAACTTCACAAACAGTGTGAACTTGTACAATACCTCGGAAAGTGAAACTTACAAAAAAAGTGCTGGTAACATTTAAAAAAAACAACAAAAACCCCAAAAAACAAACATCATTCTTAGCAACATCAATTACTCTTCCACACAAAACAGAAACCTTGTAAAATTTATTTTCGTATTTTTAAGGCGTAATACTTCCGTATAAAGTATATGCAAGAGATAAAACTTCACAGTATTCCAAAATGTCACAATAATAATATAATAGTATAATGAAGCGCTACAGTTAATTTTTCTTTTTTTGAAATTTTTTTCCTGTTTAAATAACAAATACAAGTCACAGGTAAATATACGTGAGAAAAATACGAGGCTAATATTAAATGGCAGGTAAGGATACTGTCACTGTAAGAAAAACTGGCAGGATGTGTGTATTTAGTCTATATTTTAAAGCACTTGATAGAAAAGGCGTATGCAAGGTTTTTGAAAACAATTTTTCTGTTTGTTTGATAACTGACAACAATTTAAGAGTATAATGAAAAAAAAAAAAGGAACAAACTCCCTCTCAAAACTATTGACCTGCTCATCCCACACCACGTCTATATGGATGGATGGATGTGTGTTTGTGTGTCCATGGGTTTGTACGGTACACGGATTGGTACAAGCAGTGTTCCATGCCCACTTGCAAAGATAGGAGGCTAGTCTCTCTGCAGTCACTGAGACCCAGTTCTTGGGAAGTCATTCTAACGTAAACCTCTCTTCTTCCTGGCTTTTCCCTCTTTCCAAACTCTTCCCCAATTCCCAGGTCTTCAGTCTGAAAAGACAATCTGGCTTACAAAGTTGCCCTCCCCTCAAAATTCACTGGGAAATAGAAACTGCATAAACAGTGACACCCACACAGACATGGAGAATACCACTTGGATGAATGGATATGTTTATGCGTGTGTGTGTGTGCGCGCGCGCGCGCGAGTGCGTGCGCACGCGGCATGGGTACAGTAGCAATTGCGAAAAAGGGACCATATTCCTTTCCATATGAAGATACACTGTGATAAGAAACATTTCTGTGCAGGAAACAGGGTCTCTTAGAATCTTATCACAAAAACCGTGGCGGGAACATCAGGAAATGGGTTCACCTTTCAGCAGTCACCACAGTAAACTTCATTGAGAACACCCCTGCCCAGACGTCCCGCCTGGGCACAGGTGGGCGTTAACAGCTAGCCATTCAGCCAACAGGTAACAGAAAGACAGCAGATAGCAAAACACATCAATAAGGTGCTCAAAGAAAAAAGTGGCACCCACTCCTCGAATGGATGGCCACAGTAAGGTGCTTCAAAAAAGTTTTTTCTTTTTTTTTTCTTTTCAGTTTTTATTTCAAACATTGCGAGTACTGGTTTGCACGTGGTAGTTCTGAGCCAGGCCAACGGTTTTGAGATTTCTGACATCTTCCATTGAAAAGGGCTTTCACTGTAGTTGATTTACTCAGTTTGTTGTGGGTCACTTGAGCTTAAAAATGCATTTAATAGCCAAAAAACGGAAATCAAATCAATATGACTAAAAGAAGTAACGGATGAAATGGTACAGAACGTTACTGCATTCCCATTGGATCAAGATGGTCTCGCCCATTTTTCCTCTTCCACTAACACTGTTCCTTTTTTTCTTTGTTACAATCCATTCCTTGTGAACATACAGACATGACCAAAGTCCTTGCGAAGAGCTGTTTTTATTTTTTGTGATCTGTTGCAAGAGTCCAACCTTGTTTCCTCTGCTGCTGTTTGTGTTGCATCTGGATTTGTGATGAGCATCTGGATTGGTTGTGTGCATATGTGCACATATACACACCTATACATGTATAATATATACACTGTATATATGGAGATACAAGAAGTGTGTATACATTTATACATCATATAGTGACTATTGTTTCAACTGGAGATAAACTGAACTGGGTTCCCACACTAGCACATGTTTATCTTTCCTCTGCTCCCTCTGTCTATTTCAAACAAGATGGAGCTTCCATTTATTTTTTTAAAGTGCATTTTCAATGCAGAATAACTGTAATTCACTGATTCCTTGGAAAACATTTTTGATGAGAAAAATCTGACAGTTCTCAGCCCCGAGCAAGAGAAACCTGGGTCTGGTCATGCCAGGGGCTGATGTGGCAGTGCCAGGCTTGAGCCTGAGTGATTACTGGGCATTCTGGACTCTGGGCACCTTAGCAGCAGCAGCAGCACCGTTAGGAGAAGGCGGAGACAGAAGAGGGAGAAGGAAGGAAAGCTCAGATGAGGAAGGATGAGTCTGCGGGATGTTCACGGCCAGAATTAACTTTGTACGGATGTGTGCAGTTCCTGCGTGGCTCCAGCTGAGGACACCATGGAGTCCCCTGCTCACCCACTGACACCAGCCTCCCCGTGTGCCCGCACGCACGTTCAAGCATCGCCCATGCGTCCCCACTCCCAAGGCTGACTTCCTGTCAGTTCCCTGTGGGTATGTGAGTGCCAGCATTGAGAAGGAATAAGGCACCAGAGAAATCAAAATGTTACAAAAGATGCAAAAACCCATTTCGAAGAGCCTCTCCCATGGTTCCGTTAAAATATTGCATGTGATACCACTCCTTTGTGTGACTTAAATGTGTCAAATGCGGTCTCTGAAAGGGGCTCGAGGCCCCTCAGCACCAGAGATCTGTAGGAATGCACCCTTTGTCCAGACACACCCACGCCCCCCACGCCCTCCCCACGCCACACACAAAAGCACCAGGTCGGGAGAACAAGGCTGCTTGCCATTGCTCACCTCAGTTTTGATAAAAATCAAAGAAGTCCATGAAATAGAATCTTCAGGAACTGCTCTGAGATCAGTTTGGGCTGCCAGGGATCTAGCTATGTCCCCGTTCTCAACGTCCAAAGAGCCTCGTGAACATGTTTGCGATCAATGCTTAGGGGGAATGTGCTAAAAAAATGACTTCTCAGATCATGCCCGAGTTCTCCACTAACACTTCAACCTCCCCTATTTGTTTTTAAATACTGTAAAAAAGGAAGAGATTCATCTACCTATAAAAGGAAAAAATGAAGGCACATGATTTTATTCGGTCCCAGAAAAGTGGCATTTTGCAAGTTCTAGTGTGTGTGTGTATGTGTGTGTGTGTGTGTATGTGTATGTGTGTGTGTGTGTGTGTGTGTGTGTGTGTGTGTGTGTGTGAACTCGAGTGCAGACACACGACATAGGAGTCTGGGGCTGCTGGGGCAGTCATCCCGAGGAAGCTGGGGAAGGAGACAGAGGAAAGGGGGTTCTGAGACAGAGGAGAAAGGAGAAAGGGGGAAAGGAGGCCTCTCTTCAGCTTTCTGTCATGGACAGTCTCAAGATTTTGGCTGCTTTAAGGTCCAGAATGGAATTCATTTGTCTTGGTCTAGAAAGTGCCCCCAGTTACATATCTCCAGTTAATCATGTTACCACTTTGGGTGTTCCCCTTTTCCCTTCCCTCCAGCCAAATGATTAAAAAAAAAAATCACAGTTTTTAAAAATTATTTTTTCAATGTTGAAAAAATATGGAAAAGCTATTGAACAGCCACAGGGCCCGCTGCCTCTCCACCCTCACGGTGAGCAGAAGGATGGGCCCACAGAACCCAGAGGAGCCGGCAGGATGCTTGTGCAGGACGGTCCTCCTTCCACTTTCCAGCACCCAGAGCCTCTCCTCTCAGCGGAACCCCTCTGCTCCCAGCCCATCAGGGGAATGTGGGGGCTGCAAAGGCAAAGCCACTCTGGAGAGCGGAGAGCGATGGTAACAGGAGAGGGTCTGACAGGCTAGAGGCTCCTCCTCACAGTGTGCTCTCAGTAGCCTGGCCCCAGGAAGAAAAGCTGGTTGCACACTGAGATGCTGAAGTCCCATTCACATTTGCTTCATGAGACCTCAGCTCGCAGGCTCACCACCTTTGTGCCTCTCTGGGCGTCAGAGCTGGCTCCAGGCCTGAAGAAGGCCCTGGTCCAAGACCGCGAGGCAGAGGCAGCTGGCTGCATCACACAAAAAGGGCTACGGACAGTGGGATTTCAGAAACAAATTTAACTTTGGTTTTCCGACATATTCAAACCATAAAAGTTAAAGCAGGGCTTCAGAGGCTTTGATCTGACTGGTGTTATTTTTTTTTCTCATTTGGCATGGCTAAGGCGGGGGGAAGAGAAAAGGGTTCCCACAATTGGTCGAAGACACAGGGTGGTAAATGCTTCCACACTTAAACTCACAGTCCAGTGTTTTTGACATTTCATAAATAGCTTTTTTTTTCTCTAAAAAAAGAATAAAACAAGAACAATCCCTTTACTTACTTATCTGAAACAAAATAAACAGCAGTGGGTACAAACTTCTTCTTGTAACAATTACAAAAAACAACAATATAATCCCAACTTTTAACACGCATCTTGAATCAGTTATTTTTTTTTAACCTCAAAACTGCAGCATATCCTTAAGGGCAAACTTTTCGATTAGTTTTTTTTCTTTTTTTTTTTTAAATAATGTCTTCACCAAAAAAACAGTCTTGTACCAATAAAATGCATTCAAAAATAGAAAATATTACACAACAAAAATATGTATCCTTCCTTTCCCAAAAAGATTCTTCACAAAAAAATGTAGAAAAAATTCCAACAATTTTTTTTTTCCTTTCCTAAACATTAACTTTCAGTCTAGGGCACAATTGTTTATTGATTTAAATGTCTGTTTTTGCATAAAACATGGAAGATGCAAAACAATTACTGTATTAGGATTGTAAAGTTACATCCACTCCACCCCTACTCTAAAACAAAACAAAACCAGAAAAACCCAGCAAACATTGAACAAATGGTCCAGCCAGTTGGCTAGGAAAACTATCTCTGCCTTTCCACTACTGTGCACATGTATGGGCGAACTGGCTCTGCTGGTACCTGGGACTGCTGGAGAAGCCAGATCAAGAGATTGTTTAGCAATAGCTGATGTCCTATGAGTCATTTACAGTCTCCCATGTTGCCGATCTATCCGCTGTAAATCCTCACGGAGAAAAGAATCACGTGAGGTAATAGGTGGGCAGAGGACTAAGCTCTATCCCCACATGTATGGTACACATACCTCTGTACAAGCCACTTTCTCAACCATAGTATGTCTTTTTTTCCTCTTTCTCAAAATGGAGCTCGAGCATGGGACACAGGTGACGAAGAGCTCCAGTGGTATGAGGAAGGCTGGGTGACTTCTTCCATAGTTGCCTCTCCTACATTCACCTGGTTGGGTATTAACTGGAACAATGACAAGATCTCAGACCTCAAAGGAATGCTCTGTTTTCCCTATCCCCATTGAACCTGGGGTTTCTTTTATATTTTCAGCAAGGTAGCTTAAATGGTGTATTTTTCTTATTTGATGGTATTTCTCTTTTGTGTGGTATTTCTCATTTTGTATGTGTATTCACTGTGTGTATAATTTGATTTTTTTTTTTCATAGCTTCCCCACCCCCCCCGCTGCTGCTTATTAGATTGCTGGTTTTTTCTTTGTGGTTTGTTTTGTTTTGTTTCTGATTTTTTTAAACAGTGAAATATGTCCAATTTTATTTCCAGTGCATTAAACAAATTTTAAATTAAAAGAAGAAATAAAACTTTCCCCTCATCCTTCTAAAGAAAATGACTGATAAAAGTACAATATAATAAAATCAGGCATTTCCAAAAATAGCATGATGTGCAACCTCAATTATATAAAAAGAAAAACAAACAGACAAATAAGAATTATAGAACATAAGAATGAAGGAGCCAAGACTATATAATCTCAACTATGATATGATTGGCAAGCACTGGTTAAAAATAGGTAAGGCTACTCTTAGATTTCTAACTCAACATAGTTAACCACTGCTCTTCTGTCTTTTCCTTCAATTCTTAATCTTTAACTCACTAGTTCTTTATATCTTTAAAATGGGCAAATTTGTTTTTATATTTTTGGTCTACAGTAGAATTACATATTAATAATATAATAAAAAGGTATTTCATGAACAGGTTGGTACTGCATCCATATGGGGGAAATAGAAAAAAAGCACTCAAATAGACATAGCAAATGTACTCTAGCCTTATAAAAATAACCACAAATATAATAGAAATTATAATCAGGGAAACCAATTAAACTGAAAAAATAGAAAGATATTTTGGATCATGAACTCCTAACAAGCTATGCCCTAGAATTGCAGCCTCCAAACCTTCCCCATGATTTCCACCTTTCCATAGAACCTCTCAAAATTCAAATGGAAATGGAAACAAAACAAAAATAAAGTGGACAAGTGGTTGAACCAGCCAGAGCTTCCATGTTATCTTAGCTGACTGGCCAAGACCAGGTCAGCATCTGAGAAACTGGTAGGCCACAGGGGAGCAGCTAACGGTACCTGTTTTTAATTTTGGAGGAGTTCCCAGCCCAGTGATAGAGAAACCAAGGAACCAAGTAATTCTTTTGGTAACATAAAATACATGAGATGAAACATAATTCCGATAGAGAGCACATGGCAGTGAGATGGGAAAGAGAAGAGAGAGTTGCAATAGGCTAACTTTGGGTACCACCTCCACCTCCATCTCTAGTTTTCTTCAACACATTGTTTTCTTTCTCTTTCTGAGCATCCTTTAGGATGGGCTACAGGCCCAATGTCCTCTGAGCAAATGTCTGTCATCTCAGCTCTCAATATGACACCTATGCTTTCTGGCCTTCCAAAGGGCTAGGTGGCTCTGAAGGATCCCCACCCCCATAACCCAGGCCTTGAGGAGGCAGAGGAGAAATGCAAAGTTGCAGTGACCATTCCTACCGGATGATAAATGCACACTGAGGTTCCAGTGTAGCAAAAAGAATATGAAGGAAAAGAACTGGTAAGAGTTGAGCTTGGTAATCAACAAGTATGAAGTTTTTCTTTCAGAAAAAAAGGAAGAAGAAAAAGAAATGGTATCAGTCAGAAAATACTGCTTTTGGTTTCTTTGCACTTCAAACCACCCTTGGTTTTTTTCTCATTCAGTTGCTTCAGTTTAGAGTTTAGAATCTAGTGCAAATATCATCAAATGACAGCATTTCAGGAGCAATATCCTATCCCTTCATCCCAACTGAACACTATCCATTCAGACCTCCTCCAAAGATTCAAGGAGGGGAGCAATGATCCAGAAAAGTGTAACTGAACAAACTATTGACATGGTACTCACTCACTGCAACAAGAAAGGCACTATCACAACAGCTCAGCCTAAGCACGGCCCTTGTCATGGGCCTGGACATTTTCAACCACTCTGGCAACCACGGTGAAGCCCAGCCTGTGGCTTTTTCAATACTCTAATTCATTGCCCCGCTATCTGACCCCCATACGCCCCACTGGCCACACAGAGCACTGATCTGCTCTGTGTCCATGTGACCCCACATTTTACCAATGACCATTGCTTGGTTCTGAAATGATTGAGCCCCCTCTCTTCCATGGAAATTTCTCTCTCTCCATCAGTCTCCAGTCATGACTCATATAAAGACTAGTTTACGGTGTCAGGTACTGTTGTTAAGTATTTTCCTATTTCTGAAACCTCTGGCCAAACCCTAAGTCTTAAAGATAGTTCAGCAGCTCCTCTAAGAACAAGTCTGTAAATATCACTGTGAAGAGTGAAAACCGCAGTGTCATCCCTTGACCACCAAGGCGTATCTCTTGAGCTCCTTGTATTACTTTTGTCTGGGAGAGAGGAAGTCAGGCTCGAGATTAAAATCTTTGGTGACAAAGCTGCAGTGGGTATGTGAGTGTCAAGGAAGAAGGTGTTTTCCCAAAGCCTCCAGAGAAGTATCCTAGGTCAGTCAATGTGAATCTATTTTAAAAGGTCAATTATTTCTTTCTGTCACTTTGGTTTGCTGCAGTCAATGTCCTTTTGGTACCTACCCAGCACACATCTCTAAATACCTGTAAAGCACTGTGAATTTAGAGATTCTTATTTAAAATGGAAATAATGCTTTAAGTGCTCAAGGGTTTGGTTATGTTGGTTCTGAAAGCTCTAAATAGAGTTTTTTTCTGACTAGCAAGGCTGACAGCTTCCTTAAATATTTTTTTAAATCTTGGAATAGTAGACTTGGATGGATCCTAAGGAGGAGAGAGAGATGGGTGTCACTGTGGTAACCTTAGGACAGAGAGTATCCCAAATAATATCCCTTTACAGGATAGTGTTCAGAGAAATCCAACATTAGCCATTTAGATGGGTTGTCATCCTTTCTCACTGAACCAGAACCTTCACAGCTGTCACTTTGGATCTGGGAAGCCTTTAGCATCTTCAATATTGCCTGTGGTGTGAGATTCTTCTATTAATAGACACTACAGAGCCATAAACTCTAATTCCATCTAATATTAAACAAGGCAATAAAAGAAGTTCCAATTAAAAATTGACCGCCCCCTCCCCCAAATAGCTTCAAAACGAAACTTTTAGGCACTGTTAAGGTCTTCTGCTTAATAAAGGACATTCTGCGACAGAGCAGTTAGAAAGTAGGTTCTGTTTTGCCCTCCAACCCCTCCCCCAGTGTCAAAGTGGACCAGGATGTTTCAAAAGAAGCCTTTCACTTCATGGTTCTCAGTGGTTATTGCACTGTTCCCTCACTGTCACCATACCCATGGCCTCCTTCTTTGGTTAGCCTGATCTGGGTTTCACCCATGGATGGGAAAGCAAGCTCCGGCTGAAAATACATCTCTAGTAGGGAAACGGCAGAGTGGTTTTTGAAAGGGGGACACTGCCCTCTGTGGCAGGGAAATGTGCATGGGCACAGGCCTCAGGGGTGCAGGGCAGAGCGAGGGCGCTCACAGCACCTCGGTTGGCTTCCTTACCATTGCAACTCTTACTGAAAGCTTAGTTGGAGATGACATTGGTCAAACTTCTCCTTAAACATCCTAAGTTTACTCCACTAATCCAACTTCCTTAGGATATGAAAACAGATCCTATCCACATGGCAGTTTCTAAGCCTGATTAAGGATTGGCAGACTGTACAGATTTTCACCAACCCTGCTACCACCAAGCATGATGGAAATAACCCTCTATTTTTACGATGCTTCTAGTTTCATAACTTGTTTCTTTTTTTGTCATACCTCACACACTCTCTCCCAGCACAAGTAAATACATTTCAGTAGTGCAATGCAGTGCAGTCATAATTAGTGCAAAAAAAAAAAAAAAAAAAAAAAAAAAAGCCCTATTACAAACCCAAGCTCAACCCTACACAGCTCTACAAAGGTTACCAGTGCCACAAAGTGGGAAATTCAGTCTCTGCCTCACACTTCGGTGAGTCATCTCTTTTGTTGCCCCTGTTTGTTTCAGCTCAAGGGAGAGAAACAATTCACATGCACCTATGTATTATTCTGCAAAATGTTAAGCCAATCAGCAGGAAACAAAGGGTAATTGGGGAGTGGAAACCAGGCTAGTATTTAGAAGAGGGAAATAACTATTTAATGCAAAGGTCAGTAGTGGTTTTTATTGAAAGGTTTTCATCATGTCAAATGGCTCTGATGCTAAAGGGAGTGAGTATAGGAAAACGTAAAGCTTTCCTGTCTTTCAAAACAGGGTCCTAAATTTAACAGCGATGAGCACTTGTTTCTGAATAGTGCAATCAGCTACTCTCCGAGGGCTGCAGACAGCGGTGCCTAACTTCAGAAACCGGGACGCGGGGAACACACACTTATGACCACCATCTCTCTCGCCTCATTCTTCTCTTATTTTTTCTGAATACTCACTATTTTTTCTGAATACACACAAAATACAGAGCTAAATACACATACACAAAAATTCTCAAGGCCCCTCTCAGGATGATAGGTTGAAAATTTATACAAATAGGTCAATGACACACTCACACAAAAAGTCTAGCTACTAAATATAAAAGTGAATTATTAAGAGTCTGCATTGTACCTCTTATTGTATTATTCTGTAAGAAAAAACATTCATAGTAGGATATCTAATTGGGGCGTACTTCTCACTTGGTATTAGTCTGGCATTAATTTGGGATATGACAGTATTGAGTGATTCTGAAGAAATGCTTGGCATTTGATAATCCTCAGGAATAAGCCTTTCAGTTTGTCGGGTTCCAAACTCTCTGAATGTAAATCTGCTTGTCTGCTCGTACCTACATATGCAGCTGGAAGTCTCAGGAGAATCATCATGTAGTTCAGAATAAATAATAGAAGCAAGGGTATTTGGCATAGTGGGTTCAATACACTCAAATTACTTTAAAACATAAAGTTAGATTTTCTCGAGTCCATCAACTCTTTGCCTTTGTTTGCCTTTGACTGACTGTGCTTTCATGTACTCTGAAGAGCACAATTCTTTCAACAATAGTGCAAAGAACAAATTTAATATTAAGATATAGGAAAGTTAGCCTTAATTTGTATCTTAATAGGCCCCTCAGGTGAACTGAGGTTCAAATCAGTGGGACTCCGGAAGGGGTGTCCGTGCTGACAACCTAGACCATTTTCTCCTACAAAGCGACACACAGATGGTTCCAAATCAGTTCGTCCCAAGGGGAGCAGGAGCAGAGTAACCAGCCTTAGGAACTCCTGGCAGTGCACACTCACAGAGCGCTTTAGACTCTGTCTAAATCTGGAACCAAATTTGAACCATTATTTTATTTTCAGACCTCTCTCTGCATATGCCCTCGAGAGCAGGTTAGATCTCAGAGCAGTCACAGGTGTCTCCAATGTCTCCAGAGGGGTTTGATAGTATTACGACTTAAATGACAAAGAAGTGAGGGCATCTTACTAAGTCTTGGGACTGTAATGGTGAGAGATGGGCCAGATTGGCAAAGGGTGGGTGATGCTAACTTTCTGGTGACCCTGAGAACCAGCTTTAGGATCCAGCGCTGTCTCAGGTTTGTCTCATCACATTGTCCTGTTTCCCTCTTGCTCTTCCTCTGTTCACTTAATTGCGATTATTTTAAAGAGTTAAGAATGCAAATTATAGCACAAAAGGCAGGTTATAAAAAGGCTGTCAGGCTACCTGTAAATTGGATTGAGTTGAAAGCAGGTTGCTTTCAAATGAAATACTACAATTAACCTTTTTAAAAGAAGTTTCTAGTTTGTCTTCTCCTCCTGCGGGTGGGTCTGGGTGGTGAGGTATGAGCCCTGCAGCCCAGCTCCTTGTGGTCACCACCCCCAGCACCGGGTGGGGAGACGAGAAACAGTGGAGAAGTGGATGTTTCTCCATTGAAGACCTCCGGAGCACATACACATTTGAAATGAGCAGAAAAGAAATCTGAACAATTTTAGAAATCAATAGATAAATGGGTTTTAGCTTTTTAAGAGCACCCTTTCTGTTTCTTTTCCTCTCCTGGGTATTCATCACTAGATAGCGATAAGAAATACCCAACGAGAATTTTCATTAAATTAACTTATTCCCAGCTGCATTTCTAAGATTTGAGGGGACAATAAGGATTTGTAGTGTAAAATACATGACTTTCACCTGCAATCAACTCCTATTCTTTGGCCCAAGACCTATCAGTTTAGGTTAAATGGGGTTTCTTTCTCAGGGAATCGTTTTAACTATTCTATTCTCAAGGTGCAGAGACAATTTCTCTCACAAGACTCTCAAGTGCTACTAGAAAAGGAAGAGAAGGTTTTCATGAGAAAGACTCCTCACTGGCAGATGGAAGGCTTTTCATTCTTAGAGGCAAAGGAGGTGGCAGGGCCTGCAGGTATCCGACTGCTGCCTACACCACCAAGTTAAAGAGTCAAACATCCTTTACAATCTTGAGAAGAAAGAAATAAAGGGAAACAAATAAATTAACAAACAAGCTTTATGAAAATACACATCCCTCCAGTTTCAGGTTTCTAAAAAAAAATAATAATAATTATGCTTCAATCAAGGTTTATAGATAGCAGACAACTGTTTTAATGTGTAAAAGTATCAGCCCTTGGCTTGACTATGTTAGTTTCACTTTCTTTGAAGGAATTGCACCTGTCACACGTGCCCTAAAGTCCAGTGCAGAAAATAAACTGGTTTGCTACCAGCCTCAATCTCAGAACATTTCCTAAGCTATACCGGTAAATACTAAAACTACAGACCTGTAAAATGAAATGCAGACTTTCTGAAACGCATTGTGGTGGGATTTGGGGAAGGAAGCAAGCTTTTAATGGGGGAAGATAGAAAGAAACCCCTTCCTATCCTCCCAAATACATTTTGTAATATTTCTGACCATGATTTTGCTGCAGTAGATACTGTGAAGACTATTGGTGCTCTTGGCAGGGGTCAGCTTAGAAAAGCAGGAGGCTCTTAGCAGTAAGAAATCCACACCCTGGAGTCTCTAGAATATGAAACAGAATTTGGAAATTACTCTAGACCCAAGGTCGGCAAACTGTGGCTCTCGAGCCACATGTGGCTCTTTGGCCCCTTGAGTGTGGCTCTTCCACAAAATACCACGGCCTGGGCAAGTCTATTTTGAAGAAGTGGCGTTAGAAAAAGTTTAAGTTTAAAAAATTTGGCTCTCAAAAGAAACTGCAATCGTTGTACTGTTGATATTTGGCTCTGCTGACTAATGAGCTTGCTGTCCACGGCTCTAGACCAATGCAGATTGTGGTGAGAAACCCCGGTGTCAGGGTTGGAACTCTTCTTGTGGGAGTAGAAGGAATGATGCCAAGAAGGCCTCCTGGAGAAATCTTTCTCATTATTTGGACCACCTGACACCCATCAGAACCAGATCCCCTCCTACTCCACACTGTATTTGAAATGACAGTGTTTAGGCTGCTAATAGCCAGTGCTTGGGGAGATGAGCACTTTAGATGCAGACTACTTAAAAAAAAAAAAAAAAAAAAGATGCAGGGGTTAAAATGGACAAGAGCAGAGAAGAAGAGAGGACCTGTTGGGAAACATGCCAAGTGATGATCACAGTCCTAAGCTCCATACAGCCTGGCTTTAAGGAAAGGTTGGTTTCCTACTAGATATGCGACTTGGGAAGCTTTCGAATCTTCTCATTATTGCATTGCTCTCTGTGGTGTGAGCTGATGCTACAATACATACTGGTTTAAGAAAAATGCTGAGGTAAGCCTCAAGTCCAATTAAGACTCCATTTCTAATATTAAATGTTGACTCTGTTTGTCAATGGGTAAAACAGGAATGAATGCACACCCCTGTGCACTAAAAACCAGGCAACACTTTAAGTGTCACAGAATTTGTCTGCATTAGAGCGGAGAGGCAATGTATTTCAATAGCATCATGGGAAGAGTGTTGAACTGGGAGTCAGGAAACACTGTGTTGGAGCTGCTGTAAGATTGCGTTCTAAACATCCTGTACCAGGGCAGACCCAGAACAGCATCGGTCCTGTGGGCAATGCTCCAGCGAGCAGGCAATTGTAGCTCACTGAAATGAGATGTAGTACGATGACCCAATTATATAGTGACTGTTTGGGAATTGGGGTGTGTATTACATGGTCCTTCAAGTATCTAGTCAGCCTTATTTTACTTAAACATATATTAAATTTATGTTTAAAAATAGTTGGTTGCAAAATACTGTGGAAACTTTTTGAATCTTTTAATTTCTTAGTAATTCTAAATAAATTAATAATTATGTTTCTCCAAAAGATAACAAATGACAAAAGTTCTTCCTGATTGTCTCCTACAATGTGTTTGAATGGCAGTGGCTTTACTTGTTTTAGAGAGCTCATTTAAGGCTTGAGTAGTTGCCAAAATTACTTTGAAATGTCACCCCTTTTGCTCGATTTCTATTAATCTAATATCTGGTAATATGACACTTGGCAGGTAATAAAATAGTTAACATTTTTTCCCCCTCCCTCAGAGATAGTCTACTCATATCAGGAATTTGAACACTGTGGTATTTAAAGAAAAAAAAAAACACACACACACACCAGAAAATATTTTTCTCTTTATCTTAGGCCAAATGTGAAGGTGAGAGGAATTAATGACCTCAGCTAGGGCAGATGACATTTAAAACTGTGAGTCAGGTCCTCCCACTCTCCAAAGAATATTGATAACTTTTAGAGTGAGAAGGTACAGTGTAGACTTGCCTCATTCTGCCTGCCAGTCTCAAGTAAATGAGCTTACGTCAATGCTCTTTAAACACCTACAGCTTAAAGGACGTTCACAATGGGGTTGGGGCAAGGAAGGGAAATGGGCACGCAGGGGTCCTAATTATAGAGTTCCTGGGGTGGTTCTAACATGAAGAGGTAATTTAAAGCAGTCTTAAAGAGAACCAAGAAATAAAGAGAAAGGGTGAGGAAAATAATAAAGTTGATATAATTTGGGTATTATGTGATCATTGGAAAAGGAGCAGCTTCCCTCTTAATTTACAATTATGTTTGCCTAGCAGAAATATATTTAGTTGAAAAATGTGGAGAGGCTGATGAATAATTTTGCTATTAAACTCAATGTTAGCCCTACAAAGTGGTTAGAGTAGGTAGTTCCTTAATGATAGCAGGCTTCAGAAGCAGAGGGCATGGAGGGGAGCCTGGGTAAAAAGGTGGGGGCAAACTTGTTGGAGTGGCACAGCAGAACAGGATGGGATTTGAAAATAAAAACGTATCAGAGAAGATGAAAGGAAGAAATTGGCGTTATTCACACTGAAGAAAATAAAAAAAGCCTTACTATTGGTCCAGTGTGGGAAGGGCTTTCACACTGAGTACTGTGAACAGCTGTTTTTATTTTGTCCTGAATATAGAATGAAGAGAGTGAGGCTGGTTTCAGGCACCCAGGATGGATGTAAAGTTTATCCAACTGTGAAGTTTTCCAGGCATTGGTTTAAATAGCTGAGGGAAGCTGAAAAAGCTCCTTTTCTGAAAATAATATTTGACAATATTTCTTGCTAGGAAGACAGGATGCCTGATTTCTGAAGTTCCCATGATGGCCTGGTTACATTAGAAGGAACCAAGTTCCCATCTCAACAGACATGAGGGCCAGGTACCCAAGAGTCACCATTTATTTTATCGATTCTGCAGACTAAAAAAATTGTGCGAAACTTTTCAAGTTCTACTTATATTAGCCTCTGTCATGAAAAGTTCCTCAAACTCTGGTTTTATTTATTTTTTTTAAAATCTCCTAGGGAAATGAATATTTTACTGCCAAGCTGCCTCCAGGGAAGCATTAAAGACTAGTTAAAACAATGGTAAGCATACTGAAAACAGGAAGCTGTCAGTACAGAACCAATCTTAAAAATCAATGTTTGAAATAGAGCTGGAAAAACTAGGCATTTCACTGCCGGATGCTTCTCAGATGAGCAGCCCTTTGAAAAGCAGCCTGTAATTGTTGGTCAGGTCACATGGAGGGTAAGCAGGTGCTTGGTCATATTTTAAAAAGCAAATACAGTCAGTGACAGTCCTAGAGGGGAAAATCACAGATACATTCATATGCACTTTCTTTTGTTCTTTAGATATTGAGAGGGTCAGCGAAACAAGATCACTTACACTGTGAACCTCTTTGTATCAGCCACACCAAAAAAAATTTTTTTTTTACAAAAAGTTTTCACTTTCCTACATTTGCTAAGTCTGAGCTTAAACAAATCCTAAAACCCTGTAAAGACAATACTGAAGCTGATAATATAAAAAGCAAACTAGAGCAGTAATGATTATTATGAAATGCACCAGATTAACTGCGGCAGGTTGGTGATGGGTGATAAATGCAAAGAAATAATATTTCAATCAACTCATGATCATAGGCAGATTCAAAAGTTAAAATGAATATAATGTAATATATATTTCAATATGGAGTTGTTATATATAATGTGTATGTTCTAGCTTTCAGAAATACTGCAATGTAGTGTACTGTACTTAAGTAAGCATACTTTAAAAGTAACTCATATTCTTCCACAAAGTCACTAGTACTGTTAATTAAAAAAAACAACAAAAAAAAACACCTTTTTTTTTTCCAGTAAAAAGAAATACCTATGGTTATAGTCACAGACTTATTTTGAATATAGAAAGACAATATACATTTAAAAAATAGTAACAAGGAAAAAATTGCAACTGTAAGTAGTAGCCTTACTTAACTGGGGAGGGGAAAGTCACCAAAATAGAAGAGGAAAGAAAATGTCCTCTGAATTCTGTAAATTAGCAGAAATAATCTACATGTCATAAAAAAAGAACAAACGACCTATAAAAGAAGGACATGGGAGTAAGGACATTGAATCTGTTTCCAGGCCACCTTCAAAGTCAGCTCCGAGAGCCAGGCCCATTTACTCAAAACAGTGCCCACTTGAATGTCTGAGACAGGCAAGAGCCATCGATTCTAAGCGATTACCAAACAGTATTCCCCCGAGAGTCCATTGGTTTGCTAGGCATGGTAAACAAGCCACTCCTGGAAAGACGTCGGCAAAGGCCACTCTGGTGTCAGGAGACACAGTTGATGGTGTCCTGCAGATGCAGTCAGGATTAGGAAGCTTTAGTTTGGGAGTAAAACTTGTGAGTGGCTGGGTGTTTGTGTGCACACACTGGGTTGCAGAGAGGAAAAGCCTGGAAAAGCTTAGGCCCAGACGTGTGTGGGCCTTGCCTGTGTGGCCTCTGTGCCCCTTCCTCCCAGGCCTAGGCAGGCGCCCCAGACGGCTGCTCCCTCCCGTATCCTCACCAGCGGAGCACTTCTGTTCCACCTTCTTCTGGAGGAAAACAGCCTGTCACTGTGGGTTTGCTGTGGATCCAACAAGCTGCCTTGTTTCTCCCAATTCTGAAACGCTACAAAAAGCAACAGAGTGGGCAGGTGACTGCTTCCTGGGAAGGGAGCCACAAGTCTGGAGCGCGACGGTGGGGAGAAGCAACTGAATATCTGTGCACAGGACCTGCTGCTGTGTGTGCTCCGTGGGAGTCACATACACTCTCCCAGACTACAGATATGCACATGCTCACACACAGGTCAGTATCCCACAGAAGTGCAGAGGTGGTTAAGCGCACCCCTGCTCCACACAAGTACCTTCAAGTTTTCAGGGAAGGGGGTCCTAGAAATGACTGACGGGTGGGGCTCCTGCAGAACGCCCCAAAGCCTCACCACAGACAGCGGACGGCACTGATGCACCCGATTAAGGCGAGGGAGCAGAAGCAGACACTGAGACTCTTGATTGACTAGAAGTTCCAGAACCCATCTTGTCGTCGGGGAATATGAATTTGGAACACTTCTGTGCCGAGAGCATCCCATGCTGGGTGGTGTGTACATGCATAATGTACACTTATTTGCACATTTTGGACAGCAGCTGACATGTTGGTTGGGTTAAGTCCCTTTCATTACTAGAATCTACATATAAATTGCACTGATTTTGCTGGGGAGTAACAAACTTCTGTTGCAACAGTAGTAGAAACAGATGTCGACTATGAGGTAAATTTTTTTTTATTTTTGTATCTTGGTTGTATTAGGATCTCATTGAGGCATTTTGAATGAAGAAAACCTCAGAATTTGAACGAGGGCTAGTAGGGACTTTTTGCACCCTAATTAGGTATTTCAAAACCCAGAACTCCCATGGTTGTGGCTAGATTTTCCCTATGATCTCAGATTAGGCTCCTTCATTGAAGACTTGAAAGTTGTGAGTTTGCATTTAACAAAGAACCGTCAGATAAACCAGATGCTCACTAAAACCAAGAAAAAAAGAGGAAAGAAATATTTTGTTGAGATTGTTCTCCGTTAAGAAAATGATTAAAAATGCAATTCTAGACACTTGTGATCCTGTCTTAGGCAATTCACTAGTTAGATAACATGATGTCTATTTCACACCTGGCCCAGACCTATGTCACAGAAATAGGATGGGAAATAGCCACTTCCTGGGAGTAGTCAGTTCAGACAAGTTTGTTGCCTTCCCCCAAACATAGTTTCCAGTCAGAAATAGGGCTCATTTTTGTGATAATGCAACTACTAAAAACCAAGAACAGTCCATGTCTCCGCACCCTTCCAATTTCTCTCTTCTGTCCTCTCCCCTGGGCTTTCTGATTTAAGGCAATTATTCTTTACTACAAGTGGCTTCTAATGAAAAATACCTCAGCTGAGGTCACTTCAGATTAGATTTTAGTCTGAAAGTATTCAGTTTTTATGGAACAGGAGGCTGGGCCCGAAGAGACCCTGGAATCCAGGTGTTTCAGTCAGTGGTGTGAAAAGATGATGTTTCTGGTTTCAACCTGGTTCTGAAAAAGAATCTGTGCCATTTTCTGGGATCTGTTAATGCACACCACTGACCACTATGGATTTAGTGTCCAAGGAGAAAAAGTATCTAGAGGCTTAGAGAAATCTTTGGAGTATTTTGGTCAGGCTGACCCTCTTAATACCTAGTGCTAGAAATGATGCTTTGGTTAGTAATTTCCACGGTCTATGTTTACTGGGTCATCACAGCTTCTCCTCCCGGGGAGGCTTAAGCTGGGTCAGAACTGGCAGCTCTACACAGAGAGCCCTTGGGGATATGAAGATATTCTTTCTCTAAAGCAAGGAACACAAATGTGTCCCTTTTCTGCCTTCATATGCAGCCTAAGTACCAGGATAGAGATTGCTTTTAAAAATTTATTCCATGTAATATTTCCTGGGCACCTAAGAGAACAGCCCTTTTCTTCGTGAAAACAGAGAGAGAGCTGTCGCCATCCCAGCTGGGAAGTTGTGTGTAGACCAGAAGCCCGGTGGTCTGGGGCGGGTCGGCGGCTCAAGCACTCTCCTCAGGCACTGCAGACTGAGGCATTGGGTTGCTTAGCCTTTTCTATGGAGTAGGGAGTCTATTGAAATGCTAGTGTGCCCTTCTTTTTGTTTGTCACCACGTCACATGGTTCTGTCTTCAGTGTCCTATTTTTCTTTTTTTAAATTTCTTTTCTGGGGTACAAAATCAGTCATTTAAATAAAGTTCTTTTCTAGTGAATAAAGAGGTTTCTCAGAGCCAGAAATCACTCAAAAGAAAGGCTTTGACCCTACCCATGGAAAGGCCCAGAGATTTCTCTAAATACCTCTTGCCAAACTTCCTCGTGTTGTGATTGGATGTTTTTTGGTTTTGCATTATTGGGTGCTGAATACATTTTGCAATCCTTTTGTTCTCTTCCCTAGGCTTCCATTACCCAGGACTTCAACTCATTCCTAAATTAAAGAATTCTTTCAGGAGATTTCTTTTAAGAGTCACGTCACAACAGAAAGGGCACTCTCCCATTCTCCTCAATCCCAAGGGCATCTCAGGTTGTGTCTGCTCTTACATTGCACCTACGTTGTGTTTCTTTTTGCTGCAGCAGCACGCTGGCTGTAGCAGAGGCAGATGGGTTATCTAATACCTTTGCTGTAGACTCACATAGCCTTTGCTCTCAGGTCCAACTCATTAAATAACATCTATAACAACAGAGGACGGTTCCAGAATGGGCACGTCTAGTGTGAAGCCAGGCCGGATCTATTTCATTGCCCCCTTTCCTAAGGGCAACAGGTGTCGGGAGCATTATGGGAGCCACAACTAGGAAGCAACATGAACCTTTATTATGTTCTCTTGGGGATCTGGGGGATTTGTAAGGAGCACACCTCATTTTGAACTTATGTGCTGAGGGGAAACACTGATTTGGGGCATAAGCTGGGCACATGCTGGTGGTGTGCTTGAAGGATGAAAGTACTAGTACATGTAGCTCAAGCCATTAGGATAATGTGAAACAAATCACCCAGAGGGAACCTTTACTCTGTTCACATCAGAATGCCCAAACTCTAGCTGTTCACAGACTGGGAAAGGGTTTTCTTGGTCCTTGTAGAATATTGGGATGATACAAAATAAAATCTCTATGACTCCTAAACAAAGCAAATCCAAGTCATTCTTTCTCAGACCAGGAGCTATCATGAGCTCCAAGAGGCCCAGGAAGAAGCGATAATCCGCAGCTGAAACTATCCACCAGTTTCTCAGGCCACAAACAGATTCAGAGCATTGGAAATTTGGGGAAGAGAAAGTCTTATTAGGAGCTAAAATTTATAACTCAATTAAAGCATATAGTAAAATACATTTTGATATAGTTTTATCTCAGGTTTTTTGTTTGTTTGTTGTTTTGGCCTGGTGTATTTCTCAATTAGTTCCAAGTGTTCCAATTCCTTCCTTTTTAGGGCTATATTCTACATATTTGGGGTCTTGGGGATCAAAATATTGGCATTTAACAGGGGGAAACTGTCCACTATGCAGAGATGCTACCAAATTTTTAGTATCTGTAAATTTTATTCTTCTTAAACTGTACCTAAATATTTTGGGAAACATATTCCTTTTTGACATTTTTCTTACCCTTGTTCAGCTGACTCAGTTTTAAAACCATAAATAGCTAAGAAATATTATTTTCCATACCAGTGCTTGTACTCATCCCATACTTATCCTAAGAGGTGTTAAATCTGGAACATTTGCTTCCTTTTTAACTATTTATTTTCCCCTGGCTACTGAAAAAAAAAAAATTCCTAGCACTTATAGCATCCTAGCATGAAGTTCTAAATGCAAGAAGATTGTTGGATTTGAAGTCACAAAATAAAAGGATTCAAGTTCATCCTCTATTCTCAAAGCAAAACATGTTTCCCTATTTCTAAGATGTTTGTGATTTAAAAGTAAAGGTTGATGAACTAGACACATCTCTATCCTTTTGAAAGAGGTATGAATGGCTTACTTTCTAAAATGCAGGTCAGTTTGAAAAGCAGCCCTTTCAGAGACCAGAACACATGGCAATGGCTCCACAGCAAGCTCATTGCTCCTCCAGATTAGACTGTCCCCTCCAGCCCAGCCTCTTCCTCTCTCCAGAGAACAATCTGTCAATGACTTTCGGCTGTGAGATGTTTAAAAGGAATAGACACACGATATCAAGCAGAAAAAGTCTTCTGCTATGCAAACCTGGATGGTCCATACTGTCCTAATGACAACATCACCTCACCAAAAATTCTTTAGGGATACTCTCACATTGTTAAAAAAGAAAAAAAAAAAAAAAGAAAGAAAGAAAAGAAAAAAAAAGAAAGTAATGAATATTAGGTGTTCAAGCCCAATTGGAATTTTCTCCCTACGTGTTCTATAACTATCGGTGGATTATAACCCAATTGCTTAGCTTTTTACATGGCAAATTAGTATTAAGGCAAATGGGTCTCCTTTGAATTTGAGAAGCAGATAGCTAAATCTGTGGCTCATAAAGGCATTCAAATTCAACTTTTCTGGAGGTATTATGAATTCTGTCTATTTTGCTAAGGCTTAAATAAATAAGGACACTATTTTAAAAGCAATTGTCAAATAATTAAAAACATTTTAATGGGGCTTTTGGCTTTTGTTTATAACGTATACAGAGCAATATGTCATTTCCCTCTGGATTAAAAATTTTTCTTAATGTCAAATTTTTCTTTCTTATTTTGTGGGTTGAATGACTTGTTTTCAAAATATCAAAACAATTCCGTGACATGGTTAGTTAACTAATGCTCCCCCTGTTGGTTTTAAGTGGAAATATGAGAATCTTACACATTACTCTTCTAAAAAGCCAAGTTTTCAAGAGAAAAATAGACTTTTCTTATTTTAAAATCTGTTTTCTACTAACTTTTAAAACAGGTCAATTTGGACACACAGTTCTTGGAAGTACTCCTCTTAGAAATCATGATGGGTGATATGTAACCATCCAAGTCTACATTAAAACTTCTAGCAAAATATTTACTGAATGAAGGACACAGGAACAAATCACACTCACATATACTCCAGCTGCACTAACCCTATTAAACATCACCAAGAACTTATGGAAAAGATCTCATTTAACCAAAAGTCTAAAACATATGGGTAAAACCAATTCAGTCATTACAGAGCTATTTCCCTTGGAAGACTTCTCCTTTGCTGCACAGGTTTTGAAAATAAGTTGCTAAAAGAAAAATCAGTTAAATGCAAACTAATTTTGAAACTAAAATATTTTTTTTTTCTTTCTCTTTTACAATTCTATTTTGGTGTTTCTGCTTTGTTTAAAGTTCTAATTTCCCCCTTAAGTGTGTTAAAAATATGCCCAGCAATGTAATCACCTTTGGCATTTTTGTTAGGTTTAAGAATTCCTACAGTTGGGTTGGAATCCCTTGAAGGACACTGTCTATAGATAGAAAAATCTCGGTTATAATACCTTGATCAGGACTGAAGAGAGAAACCCCAATTAGGAAGAGAGAGTGGCACCTAGGACGATGCAATGGATTGGTGGCCTTTGAATGATGGAGATTAGCATCTGGGAAGTGTGCTACTTTCTTGAAAACCTTTCCAAAAAGCAAGGGTTAATGAATCAGGTAGAGAACGATCATCTTACTTCTCCCTCTCAACCACAGTGGAAACAGTCGGAAGGTAACATCTGAAAGGAAGAAAGTAATTTTGGCATCAAGGCTTCCTGCTCTGTCACAGGCTCTGCTCTCACTGGTCTCTGTAGATGTGAAGGGTGAGGAGCTACAGGGAGTTCTGTGAGCTCCTCCCCCAGGCTGACCACAAAGGGAAAGAAGCCATTTGTCAAGACCTCTAATCTACTAGTGTTTCATCAAAGAAAACAGTAAAGTCTCTGGAAATTCTAGAATCATTCAATCTCAATGAACTTTTAGAGAGCCAAGAAATCTGTTTCTGAAAGTTAAAGTCCTTCCCATGAAAAAGAACAGAATTCTAAAAGTCCCTCCCATGAAAAAGAACAGAATTCTAAGTGGATCACTTGAAAAAAAAATTCAGTGGAGCAACCTAAGCTTGCTAAAAGTCAAAGAACTACATATCAAAATACAAAGCAGCAGTTCAAATTACAGCAGGGATGGGCGGCCACAGAGGCCCTCATCAACCCAGGCAACACTTACAATAATAAAAATTAAGAAAAATTAAAAAAAATATGAAGAAAATATCCTTCCTCTCTTTCAAATATAACTTTAATTGCCTTTTATTCTTTCTATCTGGAAGCAGTATCGCTAACCTTAACAGTCTTGACTTACCAAAAAATATATATATGTGTGTGAAATAAAATAAAAGAGAAGGGATTGGTGGCAGTGTATGCAAAACCAAAATGGAAAAAAAAAATTACTTTTAACAATCTCATTTTTGTTTTGTTTTTTTACACAAATACTGTTGTAAATATATTAAAAAAATCAGCATTCTATCTGGTAAACGTCACTTTTGCCCCTCTATAAAATTTTGAATTAAAAAAGCCTCAAGAACTTTTTATTATTCCCCCACCCTCCATTTCTCTTTCTCTTCCACAAGAATATATCCTGACACTTTTTTTTTTGTTTTTTTTGTTTTTGCAAAGATTGTTGGAAATAATCCTTCTCTTGTACCTAGAAACATAGGCGCAAACCTTTGATATCTTTGTTTTATCTGCATTCCTGCCTTTCATGAAAGTCCCTCTTGATTGTGCTGAGGCTGTGGCTCAGCAAAGACACTGAATAAATACGATAGCCACTGTTGCTTGATGCTTGTCCAAATCTTCCTGGCTTCTGCTGAAAGGGGGGGCATGGAGGAGGTGGGCCGGGGTGTGTGGGCCCAAGCGGAATCTGGGGGAGAAGCCTGCCATTCCCCTTTCCCACATCACCGATCCCACTGCCCCTTCCCACCTCCACAGCCCTTTTATGAAATCAGACAACGTGGTAGGTGGAAAACAGCAGGGCCTTTCCTCTGGGTTTTCAACCAGAAGTGATATTCCACAGTTTTAACTGGTTACTGTGAAGTCCAAGTGGCCAGAATTGTGAAAATGTCCACTGAAACACTGCAAGCGGTGTACTTAAAGACAGTCGGCCTTTTAGATTTCGGTATATATTTTTGTAGTGCTCTTCACAAGTGAAAAAAAATTTTTTTTTTTACATTTTTTTAAAAAGATTTTTTTTTTTTTTTTTTTTGTAAAGAAGGGTTGTATTTAGAGGCCAGTAGCTAGAGATCCAACCAGTGGACCCCTTGAAGCACTACCAGGCCTTAAGGCCACCATCCGAGGGAGGCCGGGAAAACTATTCTTCACCCGAGCCTCCGGAAATGTAATGTACCAGCAGGCAAAAAACAGTTCTTCATGTAGTACAAAATGAAATGAAACGAAACAAAAACAAAAACAAGAAAGTAAAAATGAAACCAAAACATTTCTTAAATTCTAGTGCCATAGCTTTTTTTTGTTGTTTGTTTTTTTTGTTGTTTTGTTCATAAGAAAGAGAGAAAGATATTACTTATCCGTCAGACACATGCATCCTCATGTGGTCGTTGAACTGCTCGATTTGGTCAAACTTTGCTGGGCAGACGGAGCAGACGTAAGTGGTCCCCTCCGTGCAGGCCACCACCCCCGGGGGGCCAGCGCGGGCTCCCGGGGCCGTGCCCGTGGGAGGGGTCCCGTTACTGGCACTGTGCAGGGCCACGTGTCGCTCCAGGAGGGTCTTGTGGGAGAACTTCTTTTTGCAGATGTAGCACTCATAGGACTTCTCCCCACGGTGGAGGCGCATGTGCACGTTGAGCGAGCTCTTCTGGGTGAAGCGCTTGTTGCAGATGCTGCACTGGTAGGCCCTCACTCCTGTGTGTGTCACCATGTGCTTGATCAGGTAATCCTTTAAGGAGAAGGAGCGCCAACAGATGCTGCATTGGTGTGGCTTCTCGCCTGTGGAGGTGGGAAGAGACAGCAGGCAGGACAGAGCGAGACATAGCGAGGGAGGGAGAAAGAGACAGAAAAACAAGACAACAGAAAATAAAAACAAAAACAAAAATTAAAAAAACAGTCTGATTCATGAATGGATCCCTCTTGATTGGAAAGATCCCGTCCTTCCTGGCCTCTTGTGTGCTGAGAAACCTTGCTTTAAGGTGATGCCAGGGAAATCTAGAGTTCCCTGTTTCCCTGTGTCAGAAATGGCTTTCTTGCAAAGCTACAAGACATTCCCCACTCACAGTCTTCCAAGACCATCCTGTGGAGAAAAGGAAGGGCTACTTTAAGGGGGTCATTTTCAGTGTCATCATGAGGGGTTTTATATGCGTTTCCCATTAACGTTATAAAAAAAATATATGAACTAAGAGAGAGGGAAGATCTTTGGAGACACGAGGTTCTTTTCGGTCTTTGGGAACTAAACACGTAGCTCAGCTCTCCATTCCCAGTATTCTGTTCAGTACACACGCTCATGCCTTGATGTTAGGTCTGGCAAATATTGGCCAACATAGGAATAAGTCATTCTGAAGAGCTACACGTTCAAGTGTATCTAATTTAGACAGAAAGCTTCCTAAAACACAACTTAAGAGTTAATTGGCTCTTCTGTCTTGACTTCACTGAACTGCAGATAGGCCTCACCCAGCGTGGAGGCTGGGTATGTGGTGAATAACACGATGCTCTCAAATGGTCCTGCTCCAATCCAGTCCCCAGCATATGGCCTGCCCCTCTGACAGACCTCCAGTGCCTATGAGGTACAGTCCTACTTACCTCACTGGGCTGGTGTTGACATGAAACAACATGTGAAATCACTTTGCAGACCACCAAGGGTGGTGTGGGAATACTTGCACGGTGTTCTTATTACAACACTACCTTCCCTCTCTCCGCTGCCCATTAAATGTTTCCATATGCTTTTTGTGAACTCTTGGGTCAATTTTAAAAATTAGTTTTCTCCTTTACGCTCAGTCTGTTGGCTGGAACTTTTCTTTCCCTTCAGTTTACTGCTTTGGTTTGTTGCTGACTTAAGAAACCCAACTATCGAGCTTGATAAAAAACAAAACAAAACAGTTAGGTAAGTATAAATATTGTCAATGAATGGCCCCACGAGGTGTTCTGATATAAGTAAACGTCCATAGGCCTGTGACATCTCTTTGGATAAATAGAGACTTGTTTTCTTGGTAGTACCGTTTGTTCTCAGCTCTGCTCTTTACAGTCGAGATGAACTACATTACGGTGTTTCCATCTCCCACCTCACTTCTGATTTCCCACCTCAGAGAAGTAAGTCCTTCTATGTACTCTCCCACAACCGAGCCTAAAGACCTCAAAGCCTTTGAAGTTCTTATAGGTAATATTTCAACATCGGGGCAATGCCTCATGGTAGGGAATCTATGTCTTAAATTTGAGTTAATGTCAATTAAAATTTGCACCTTTGTGTTTTCATTCCCCCCCATTAGGTGTGATAGTAATAATGGCAATGAAAACACTCACCATGTTTGGGTGCTTAGTATGTGCCAGACTCCATGCTGATGCTTTACGCTCATGATCTGTTTTATGGAAATTTCCTACCAGACAGCTTCTTCATCGTGTTTGTAAACACAAAAGGATACGTTTCAAAGCACAGGATCATAAGAAATGGCTGTTTTGTTCAGGAATTACTCCACAAATTTCTTAATTTCACGGACCTTTGCCCTCTTTTTCCTTTACTTATTCACAAACATTTTGGCCTGCAGCCTGCTCTTCTCAACTCTCTTCTGATTGCCTTTCCCATTTTCTTAATGTTGGTACAGAATGATCCATAGGACCACAGGGTTAGAAGAGAAACATTTGTTTCACTTGCAGACTAAAATGAGGGAATTTCAGAAGCATCATTCCTAAATGAAGAGTTCTGCCTCAGCATGGTGTTTATTTATATAGATACATTTAAAAAAAAGTTTTTTTTTTTTAATGAAAGACTCTAGGGGAGAGAGTCATGCCTGTTATTTTTAGTTGAAATGTTTCTGTCAGCTGCAAACATGTTTGGAACTCACGCTGGTCTTTGTCTTCCTGGTGCTCTCGGGACACTTTTAGAGACCATGATAGGCCAGCCTACTACCTTTTAAATCACGCCCACTTGTCACCTTTAATGCGACATATGCCTTCTTAAGGTCCAGATGGTATTTGGCTGTTAGGAAGTCAAAACTTTGTCTATGTTAAAGAGCTTTCACTCTGAAACTTTTACCTTCTAGTGCCTTGTTCCTCTAGGCAAGGTCACTGATGAAGGCTTTTTACTTTCACACCCTTCTCATCTGCCAGTAAGTAGTTTCTTGACAGTTATCAGCTTTCCCTTCATAGCACAGATCTGCATGTATTTGCATGTACAGAGTGGTGTTTTGGCATTTAGTTACCTGTGCAACCCTGGGCTTTCTCAGTGTCTTCGTTTCTATGGGTGTGTGTCCCCTCTGAAAGGGAGGAGCAGGATGGAACCCGTCATGGTCCTTTGCAGATTTGGTGGCTTTCTGCCCACCTCGGCCTACCACCCCGGAGGATTCCAGTCCCGGCCTCGTCAGTGTCTGACCTGCTTAAATCCCTCAGTGCATCCTCAGTCCTGCATTTTAAATGGGGCAAAGTGTGCTGTTCCCTTCCCTGCCACAGAAAATGGTATCACAGTTAATGAGGAGACATGTTTGCCAAGTAAGCACTTGGGAGGCCCTTAGAGGAAAGGGACTGTCTTACTAAATAGGGTGTATTTTTAGAGTAGTCGGATATTCACAAATTTCATTTCTATATGTTTGGATTTGAACAATATCACTCAATGGAAATAGTAATACTTTCCCTTTCCATTATTTTCCTGCATGTTACTTATAGCAATCCCACAGGGGCTTTCAGCATTATACATGGCAGAGACATGGTCTGCTGGCTGTTGCTTTGTATGGAGAAGTGAAGATGAGTGGTGGTGGATGGTTTTCCAAGTCTGAACCCAAGGCCAGAAATGGCAAGTCCGGTTTGTTAGATTTAAAGCAAAAACAAAATAAAAAACCCAAAACACCACACCACAAAGTACAAAACAGACACTAGAATTATAATGTGAAGGTGAAGCTCACATAAGCCCTTTAGCTTTAAAACGATCCACTTTGAGGCTAATCAGATGCAGGAATCAGATATGAATTCAATTTCCTTGGCTGGTAACTTGGGCATGTTACTTAACCTCTCTAAGCCTCAGTTTCCTTATCTGTAATTTGAGAGTAATACAGTAAGTATTGTGAAGATATTTTGGAAATTAAAGAGATAAGGCAGCTCAGAGTATGTGACCATTTTAAGAAAAATTCAAATGTTCCCTTTGGCACAAAGGAACTGACGATAAACGAAACCCATGGAGAAACGGACTGTGTGGAGTGGGGAAGCCAACTCAGGATTTGGAAAACAATGTGACAGCTAGTCTATACTGCAGCTATGTAATTCAGAGTTAAAGGTATATAGACTGCTCTTAGTTTCTTATGCTAACGGAGAGAAGCAATTAGCACAGACAGGGGATTTCTTAGCAAGCAACAACTGAGCTCTGGGGGAAGGAGAAACCAGACAACAAGCAGAGGAAGCGAGGTGGGAAGAAGGAGGGGGCTAGTGTCTTTTACTAGTCTTTACTACTCCAACAATGGGAGGGTGGTGAACACATAACTTTTCTCTCTTTTTTGATGCATGCTCTCTAAAGAGCTACTTTCAGCTCCTCCTCATGCACCAGGACTGACACTTGACCACCATAGGGGGTTTGGGGAAGGGAGTGAACAGAGAGAGAAATAGGAAGAAAGATACTGTTACGTTAACAGATGCAGAGACTCTGCCCAAAGTTCAAGTAAAAGATATCCTAATGGGCTTAGTGCCCCCAATTCTGAATAGTGACCTCTCTATTGGGAGCTCAATAAGAACCCATTTATTCTGCTGATTCTTTCTCATTCTATTATAACTTGGCTTTTCCTGGGCTGCAGAGAGGACAATGAATACTTTTCTGAGCACTGTTCCCATCTGTCTCTCATTCTCTAGGCTTCCCCATCATCTTCTCTGAACAACGCCTCCTCAGGTAAGCACAGTGAGGGGTCAGAAGACCAAACCTGGGTGCGTGGTGAGAAAGCGGGCATCAGGGAAGGTGGCTACAGGCAAGGAAGCAGAAGGTATCCCTGAAATTACAGGTCCTCTGAATGGGGCAAGTCGAGATTGGAGCAGAAAATGGGAAAGGTGCTCAGAGGGAATCAGCCCTCACTGACTGCAGAGTCTGCTCTCTACTGAGAAATCCAGGTGGCGGTAGGCCTGCACACCTGAGGTGTAACCACCTGCCAGCCTTTCTCTCCAGTTCTGGGATGCCAACCCCATGTCAGTTTGACCTATGACACTCTCTTCTGGGAGAGTGGCATTGCCTCTTGGGGACACACTGCATTCACAAAACATTGGTAGCTTCAATGACAACTGAAATATTTTGGTGTTAAGCAGAATTTTGAAGATCTCAGGGAATTTCACCCATATTACTTGACTTTTCTTACAACTTTAGGAGTAGGCTAGATATTAACCTCCCTAGAATATGGTCTCTCCATTAGAGAGATATAGTAACATCCTGAAGGTCACTCAAGTCAGGAATAGCTGAGAGTATGACCCTAGCCCAGGCAATTTCCTGCTCTCTGGATTCTGCTGCAAAATGTATGATGTTCCTAAATGGTTTGATAACTTACAGCATTTATAGTTAAGTGCTTTTACATAAATTATGTTATTTGGTTCTCAGAGCAACTATGTAAAGTAACTACTATTAAGATCTGTATCTTAGCCGAGACTGATTTGGCTCAGTGGATAGAGCATTGGCTTGGGGACTGAAGGGTCCCGGGTTCAATTCCGGTCAAGGGCATGTACCTTGGTTGCAGGCACATCCCCAGTAGGGGGTGTGCAAGAGGCAGCTGATCGATGATTCTCTCTCATCGATGTTTCTAACTCTCTATCCCTCTCTC